AATTTAACTTTAATATTATTAATTTAGAAAATAAATTAGGAAGAATTAAAGTTATTTGAAATATTTGTATTTGAATTTGATATTGAAATTTTGCATCAAGAATGAATTAAAAAATATAAAAATTAGATACTAAAAAAATTATTATTGATAAAAAAAAAGACCACTTAATAAATTGTCAATATCTTAACAAAATAAATAACATATCATTTGGACAAGATGCTTATAAAAAAATAAATCAATTTATTTTAAAACAAAGATTAACTTCAGAATCTAGAAAGTCAATTCAAATATGTAATATTGAACTGGAAACTAAGAATAAAATTATTAATTTAAAATATAATTTACCAGTAAATATTACAAAATTAGTGTTTTAGTATGTGTTGTTAACCGTGATTACCTTTACTAAACATGATAAACTAACAACTAATAACAGGAAAACTATTGTCTAAAAGATCATAAAGCAATTAGATGAATATGTTAAAGTTAGAAGATTTATACTATGGAGAAGTATAAGAAGTAAAGGATTTGATGTTGTAAAATTGTTCGAAAGAGATTAAGGGTAGGAGGTTTTACACTAAATTTATAGATATTTATAAAGAATATTACAAGTTTCATTTAAAAACTATAATAATTTATACAGAATTAATATAATTAATTTAGATCACAAAGTAAGATTAATTAAAAACAGAATAATACTGAGATTACAAAACAGGGTATTGTTAAGAAAATATTTTACTAAGAAATTAAAAGGTTAAATTATTATTTGTTGTGAAGACTTTATTAATAATTTATTACAATTACCGAGTTCAGAATATAACTAAGTTCTAATTGTTCTTTCACTAAAGGTAAAAGTTATCTTTATTTATACAAAATTACCATCCTATTACAAGATTATGATTATTAATTTCAAGAAAGCTTTAGAAATTTCTGTCACATTTCAAGATATTCTATAAGCTATTTTTGTTAATGAGTTATTTGTACTAGAGATATTTATCAGAGGTATCGACTAGAAGTGTTAATTAGAAATATCAACTAGAGGTGTTGACCTCGCATTACAATTAGTTACAAAAATAATTTACATTTGTTACTTGTAATTCTAATATAAATTTAATACAAATAAAAAAATCTAACTAATAAAATATACTAATAATTATAATAATGATAATAAAAATAATAATATATAAATATAAAAAATAAAGTTAACAGTATATATGATAAAGTATAGGTGGTAGGTTGGAGGTATGTTTCATGTTAATCTTAGGATAGACAATTCGAATTAGTCTGAGTCTCATCTTTTCAATAGTTACTAGAATAAGTTGTATATTTTATATTATGTAATAATAATGTAAGAGACTTTCTCTTTTTTTAATTAATAAATTTGAGGCAAAGCCTTGTCAAAACTTTATAAAAAAAAAAAAAAGTATATATGATAAAGTATTATTAGATAGAGATAAATATCAAAAACTTATTACAGTAGAATCACATTTTGATATGTAAATATCAAATTATACAAAGACAAAATGTGATTTTTAAATTAATAAATAATCAAATACAAATTGAAATTTTTAATATTGATTAAAAATCTGTAATTGATGAAGATAAAGATTATAATAATTCTGATAGAATAGTAGTTGATAAACATGAAATTGGAAATAGTATTTATCAATCAATTAAATTATTTCTTCAAATACTTATTCATATTTGGAAAAATTCAAATCCTCTTGTTTTGCAAATTAGTGATATAATTAAATTAAAATTAGGTAGTGATAGATGTAATATTGGATGAAAACAAAATTATGTAATGATGACAATTTATTTATTGAATGAAAAAGATAATATATTGAAATCAGATCATCAATATTAGTAATTAATTTATAAATTATTTTTATTTTTTTTTATTTTTTTTTTTATTTTTTTTAAAAAATAATAATTAATTGAAAATTAGTATTTGTCTTTTTGTAAAAAAAGAAAAATATGATACATTAGAAAAAATTGTATATATTTTTAATGATGAACTTTCTGAATTACAAGAAAATGAAATTTTGATAATAATGATATTTATTGAAAAATTGAATTTTTTTTTTTAGCAGATTAGAAATTTATGTATATAATAATAAGATTAAATATATCGAATTTAAAATACTTTTGCTTATATTGTGATTATGATTCAAATATTCATTGGAATATAAATTTACAGTGGATAATTAATAAAAATACAAAAGGTAATTATATTATATTAATATATAAAAATTAAAATTTTAAATATTAATAAATTTAAATTCTTTTAGCTTAAAAAAAACTTCATTATTTGTATTTCAGATATATTAATGAAATGTTTTTTTAATGATATTTAAAAAAAAAAATTTTGAACAACAAATTAAAAATCAAATTGAACAAGTAATAAAAAATATTAAAATATATTTTGAATTTTTTAAATTAAAATCAAATGGTAGAAAGTGAAATTGGACTTCTTTAATGGATCTTGATAAGAAAAAAATGTTACAAAATTTTCTTATTACTTAATTTATCTTTAAAAAATGTGATAAAGATATTTAAAAACTTTGACATGATTTTTATAAATTATATATTATTTTATGAAAATTACTTATTACTAATTCAAAAATTAATAATTTAAAAATTAAAGATTAATTTATTTTGCCATCCAATTTAAGGTCAAATAAATTCATCATTACAAGTACATGATCTCTATAGAAAAGAAGATATAACTCCATATATACATATTTTTTCACAATATATTCCTGAATTTTTAAAAAAATTAAATGAAAAAAATTTATCTATTTAATATTTTTCTACTTCTAGTCTAGAAAAAAAATCATAATCAGATATTTAATATTCTATTATTTTAATATAAATTATTAATAATTTAAAATTATAAAATTAATTATATTTAATTAGGTTTGATTATTTTTTAGTGGAACTACTATAGAAAGTGGAAGCAAAGAAAAATCTATAATATATGATATAATGGAATTTGAAAATTGACAATTATATTATTTACTTAATAATATATCACAAAAAATTCAAATGCAAAATATAAATTTAAATAATAAAGAAAATAAAAAATAGGTATAAAAATATTATTATATTTTATTTTATTTATAATATAAATTAAAACCTAATAATTATTAGTTAAATTTTAAAGTAGTGGATAAGATAAAATATAACAAAATTGCTTAGTAATTAATTCAATATTTGAATTGGATATTTCATTTTCATCTTTGTTTAATATTAATTTACATTCATCATTACTATAATAAATAATATGTTTTAAAGAATAAATTTATAAAATAATAATAATAAAATAATATACTATATATATCTATTTTCTTGAAATTCATTTGAATCTGTAATAAAATTACAATTTATTCTTCCCAATATAAATTCTCTATTATTTTCAGATAAAATTGTTTGATATTTATTTTCATAATCTTCAAGTAAAACATTGTCCTTAGTATTAGTATGGGGGTTCTCTTGAAAACTCCATTGAGTATAGCAAAATAATTGGTTTAGTTTAGTTATTCCAGCATGTCCTTCAAAAATACATTGATATTTACATTTAGCAGGACTATATTTGAATGTTTCTTCATTTTAAAAAGGTATACAAACACATTTTCAGGAAATGTATCTATTAATAAATGTTTTTTTCCAATTGCATGTCTTGAAAAATCAAGTTTTTTTTTTTAAAAGAACAATAAAAGAATTAATATAATGAATTATTTGTTCTGAAGTAGATTGAGAAAGTAAGTAAAAGTGGGTTATTAATTTATTATTTGAATGTACATTTCTTTCATGATTTACTAAATTTTTATAACTTGCAAAAGTTTTAAAACAGAGCTCGCTGTTTGTTATTATTATCCGCGTATTGAAAACGATAATCATATATACTATTATTATTATCACATCACATTAGGTTACACGATCATCAACTATGGGATATGAGAAAAATTAGTCCATATGATCAAAAGTCTTACTGGTATGAATTATTATTGTAAATGTTATTGGATCAGCTGGAGCTGGAGTTAAGGTTGGAATTACATTTTTTTGTAAAAGTATGAAGACATAATATATTGTTGCATTTTTCAGGCAATCACATGAAACACCTTCATCAAATCGTTAAGATATATAATTCTTGGATCATGATTACGGTGATAAAAATTGCAACAAAAAAATATTAAACATATTTTGCTTTATTGATTCATTGATTGTTTATCATCGAGAGATTGGTTAAATTTTCCTTTAATAATTTGTTTTCTTATCCAATTTTCGATCTGTTTTTATAAATACAAAAATCGATATACACATTGAACTATTCCTATGGAAGAAAAACAAAAAGAGCGTATAAAATAATCGTCGCGATCAGCCTCACGTTCTTAACCAAAGGATCATCACACAATGATCAAGGTGAACAGTCACACGGAGTCAATGATCATGAAAGCAGATAATCGTGATTTATATATGCAATTAAAAAATAACTTATCTTTATATCAGAATAGTGTCGGATGGTGCATCTCTAAATACACCCGCAATTTGAAGTTCTCAAACACTCTTACGACGTTCCCTTTTATGCAAGTACTGGGTTGGTTTATCATTATTGTTTCGAGATTTAGCTGTAATTTTTAAATGTCAAAAATCGATTAAAAATAATAATTATCATAATATAGTCTGGAGTTTAACAATGTTAAATCTTAGTAAAATTACATTTATAATTTATATCTCAAGAATTTAATTTGAATAAATCAAATCAAAGCCAATACAATTAATAAAAATTACTCAGTAGATAATATTGAAAAAGTAAATACAATCTATTTTTGATTTATTAAAAGACATCTCGCGATTTACATGGTTTACATTTAAGATCATCATTACTTATTATTACTTAGCAAATTACATTTATATTGTTTATACTATACTATGACGATGTGATTCAAAGATCAACAAGTTATTTCAATATTCTTACATCTTTTACAATCAAGTCCATCATGGCGTCTTTTGAACAAATCGAACAATTACGACAAGAATTTACAGTTGAAAAGTTTCGTTTTGAACAAAAATTACATGAATCCCAAAAAGAACTATATTCATTAGAAATCCGAAACAAAGATTTAAATTATAAGTTTGAAGATGTTCAAAAACTTTTGGATAATGCTGGTAAGTAAAGAATAAAGTTTAGATCTAAACATATTAAAAGAATTAATAAAAATTGTTTTCAAAGATAAACATCATTATTAAAACATTTAGGTTAAACACATTTACATTAATAATTATATAATAGAAAATGAAAAGAATAACTTAATAAATGAAAATAAAACTGTTACTGAAGAATTAAAGAAACTCCGGGAAGAATTTTCTTCCCGAGAAAGAAGTTACCAGGAAGAAAAAGAAAAGAAAACGACATTTATTAATTTGACGGAACAAGAAAGAAATTTATTAAAAGGTAAAAATATATATATATTTATAATAATTATATTTTTTTAATAATTATATTAATTACAAATATGCTTGGTTTTTTAACAAAAGATAATGTCGAGCAATTATCAAAATTGAATTTGAAATATCAAAAACAAGTATTTGATTCACAATATGAATTGAATAACTTAAAAAAAAAGGAATTCGAAACAAAAGTTTGTTATTATTTGGATTTTAATTAATTTTGACGAATTTTGATGAATTTTGATGAATTTTAATTAATTTTAATTAATAATTATTTTATTAATAATTAATAAAGAATAAATTAACATTATCAAATGCCGAAGTGGAATCATTAAAATTAAAACTTGATAGCATGGAAAATAATATGAAGGAATTAGGAAAAAATAATTCAAAAGTTTTATCTACGCATGTTTGTATAAATAAAATATATATATATATATATATATATATATATTATATAGTGTCAATTATTTAAATTTTAAAATAGAAATTAATTATTATTTTTAATATTTTAGATTAATAAAATAGATTCCTTAACTCAACAAGTGAACGAATTAACCAATGAATTAGAAAAATATAAAAATAAATCATCACATTATGAAAGAGTGGCAGAAGAACAAATATCAATTGCTCAAAATGCTACACATGAAAAAGAAGATAAAGAACAATATTATGAAAATTTGCTTAAAGGAGTAATAAATGAAGCTTTATCATTAAAAGAAGAATGTAAATTATATCAAAAAGAAAAGGAAGCCGATAAACAAATGTTTGAAGATATGGAATGTATGTGACTTTATTATCTAAATTATCTAAATTATCTAAAATAATTATCTATTATCTTAACTTATATTTAAATTTTTTATTATTTATAGCTGAGATTTCGTCATTAAATGTACAATTAAATGATGTGATATCAATTAAAGATCAGGTAAATTTTTATTAAAATTAATTAAAATTAAATTAAATTCTATAATTTTTCTGTAATTCTAAATTATTATTATTATTATTAGATTATTAAAGAAAGTGATCTTTTAAAAGAAGAAATCGAAAAATTACAAGTAGAAAAAACTAGATTAAGTCGGATATCCGTTCTTGCCACCACCGCTCCAGTTGGTGCAGTTGAATTAGCATTACAGGAAAAAGGCAGATCAATTGTCGATATGGTAAATATTTTACTAATAACTTATTATTTAATTTATTAATATAATTTATAAATATAATTTATTAATATAATTTATTAATATTATTTTTAGTACAATGAATATACCAATCTACAAGATTTATTATTCCATGAGAAATCAAAAAATTCTGATCTTAATGACATTATAACAATGCTTAAATATGAACTTGATGGCTACGTAATTATTTAATTTATAATTTATAATTTATGGTTCATTTATTTTTAATGAATATTGAAATTTTAAATTTTTATTTTCTTTTTTATAGGAGTCAAATACTGAACAGAATAATGTCAGATTTAATCAACTTCTTGAAGAAAATAAAATTATTAAAGAACAGTTAAAATTAAATTATTCAGAAATATCTCGATTAAATTCAAATGTAATTAATTTTTAATTCTTTTTTTTTTTTTTTTTTATTCATCAATTCTATTTTATATATTAATTTGAAATTTATATAATTTATATTGGTAAAATTTTATTAGATAAAAAACCTCGAGACAGCAAATCTAAGTTTAGAAGATCTTATCACTCAGAGAACTCAAGGTAAATTTAAAATAATTAATGTTAAAATATTAATTATATTAAATCATTTACTTACCTATATAAATGTATATATATTATTTTTTATTATAATAGAAATCATACAACTAAAGGATAAGAATAAATTCATTAACGATAAATTTAATTATTTTTATGAAAAGAAAATTGATAATAAATTTCTAAATGAAAAATTACCTGAAGATCCTCGCAAATTACATGTACTTTGCTTTAATCTTAGAACTGAAAAAATTAATTTACAAAGAAATAATGCCGCTCTAGAGAATCATATAGAATCATTTAAATCTCAATTATCTTTAAGAGATGTTGAAGATAAAACTACTGCTCAACATATTCATAAACTTCAAGAGCGTATTCAACAATTCAATAGACAAATTGAAACTTTGGAAAACGAAAGAAAACAACATTTAGAAATTGCATTTAGGAATAGTATAAATAATAGAGAAGAAGAAGAAGAAGCGGTATCATTAATATTTGAAAATAATTCAAATTTGGAAATAATAGAAAAATTAAAAGAAGAAAATCAAGAACTTAAAGTAACTTCATATTTATTTATTTATTTATTTATTTATTCACATTATATTCATATTTCATTTAATTTTAAATGTAACATTTCTAATATATTTTTTTTATTGATAATAATATTTTTTAGGATAGAAATGAACATTTATTAAAAGAATTAAAAAATCATGAAGAAAATGGTCAATTGTTTATTGATGAAATGAATAGTTTTGAATTATACAAATCAACATGTGATAATAAAATAAAGAATTGGGAAGGTAATCTTATATATTTAATATTTATATTATTTAATTTTATTAACGCTATATGCTATTAATTTTTATTTATACTATTTATAATTTAATATTAATAATAATATTGATGAAATAAATTTTTTATAGAAAAATATAATACAATTTCGGATCAATTAAAGGCAAAAGAACAAGAATGGCAGGATATTAAGAATATTTTACATCAATCACGAAGCTTTAATAGTCAACTTGAAAATCAACTTACTAAGGTATAATTTATCCATATAAGCTATTTATGAACCATATATATATATATATATAAACCCTATATAAGCTATATATTTTTACTTTTTTTTTACATATATTATTATTATTTTTATTTTATTTTTTTTTTTAATTTATAGTTACAAGAAGAAAACAGAGTATTACGTACGGAATTATCAAATACCAAATCTTCATTATCCATTCAAGAAACCAAATGGAATGAATTAAAAATTAGTTTTTCAAATGAGATGATGGATCTCTTAAGTGATAGTGAAAAAGCTGTTCACCTAGAAAAAGAATTTTCATCACTGGTAGAACAAAAGAAACGATTAGAAAATGAATTAAATCAATCAAATGATAGTTTAATATCAGCAAGAACCAAAAATGATTTACTACAAAATCAATTAAATGAATTAAATGAGAAATTTAGTTTAAGTTTAAAGAGAAAAGTTGAAGAACATGAAAAAATATTAAATGAGAAAATAGGTTGTCAAAAGGAAATTAAAGAACTTTCGGAAAAATTAAAAGTTAATAATGCAATAATTGAATCACAAGCAAAAGAAATTGAGAAATATTCCAATCAATCAACTGCAATATTTGATATATCCGAAATCTCTGAAGGACAAGAAAATCGAATTATCCAATTAAAGTAAATATGTCATATATTTAATTTGTTATATATCTTCTTAATTAATTATTTTAATTTTTTAATTTTTAATTTTTAATTTTAATTTTTAATTTTTAATTTTAATTTTAATTTTAATCTTAGATCGGAATTGGATTCAGTACAAAAGAATAATATTAAAATGCAGGAGGACAGTAAATTTTATAAAGAATTATGTGATAAATATATGGTTGATCTTAACAAACAACAATCTTTATATGATGAACTTAAATCCGCTACTGATATTGAACGCGAAGAAAACTCGGTAAAGCTTGTCGTATCAGATTGTTGAATTGTTATATTGTTGTATTTGTACGGAGATTAATAATTTTTTTACTTTATTTTAGACAAAAATCATAAACCTACAAGAAGAAATTAACCAATTAACCGAGAAATTAACAGCTATATCAAATGAATTAGATGAAAATACCAATAATCTTGTCGTAAATGATCAAGCATATAAAAACACTTTAATCACTTTAAATTCTCAAGAACAACATTTAAATGAAGAATTAAAAAGACTAAAACATTCATACGAAGTAGCACAAAATAATTATAATCAAACACTTATTGCTCATGCTGATAATACTAAACAATTACATAAAATTAATGATGAATATTCGAAATTGAAGTTTGAATATAATAAACTTCAAGTAAGTTTCGATTATATCTTTTATATAATATATACATCTTTATTTATTTATATATGTCATTTATTTGCCATTTATGTGTCTAAATTTATTCTAAAATTTATTTTAAAAATTTATTCTAAAATTTATTCTAAAAATTTATTCTAAAATTTATTCTAAAAATTTATTCTAAAATTTATTCTAAAATTTATTATTAGAATACTTTAGTACAATCAGAATCTTTATGGAAAAATGAAAAGGAAAATGTGGAAAAACGTTCACTGGAACTTGAGAAACGGTATTTTAATTTTTAATATATATATATTTTTTTTGATATAACATTTAAAATATTAAAATAATATTGATAATTAAATAATTTTTATATTTTGATTTATTTATTTTAACTAGTTTCAAAGAACTTGAGAATGAAAATAAATCCCTTCATGAACATATTAATAATAATTCTTCATCAGATAGTGATCATTTAATTTCTAATTTACGACAAGAAAGAGAAGTTTTTTATCGACAAGCAGAAAGATATAAAGTTCAATTTGAACAAGCTCTGAAATCTTTAGGTGAAGTTCGAATATTACTTGATAAGGTAAATTAATTAATTAATTATAATAATAATAAATAATAATTAATTTAATTTAATATTTAATTAATATTTAATTAATATTGTAATAGGAACGAGAATTTAATAAAAAGATCCAAACAGAATCAGTTGGTGACCTAACAGAAGAAAATACTCATCTAAAAATTCTTAGTGAAAGTAATAAAGCACTAAGAGAAGAATGTGAAAATTTAGAAAAAACTGTGAATGATCTTCAATCATCTAAAAATGAATTTGAAGAAAAAGTATCAATTCTTAAAGGACAAATTCAAGATTTGAAATTTGAAAAAGATAATTGTGTACAGGAAATAGAAATAATTAAAAAAGAAAATGAAGAATTACATGAAAGATTTAAAGTTATTTTAGAGAAATATGATGTAAGTTTGAAAATTTAGTATTAAATTTATTATTAAATTATTTTTAAATTTATTATTAAATTAATATATATATATATATATTTTATAATAGATTGAAGATCCTACTGAATTACAAAAATTGAAATCAGACTTAAAATCATTCGAAAGTGAAATAGAAAGATTAAAAGCAGAAAATGCCAAATATAAGAGACAGGTAAATTTTAAAATTTCTCTGGCTTCTCTTTATTCAATTTTCAATTTATTTTATTTGTTTAATTTATTCAATTTCTAAACTTTAATATATTTTATTTAATTTATAGTTTGATAGTATTAGAGCTTCCGCCATTAGGTTCAAAAATGAAAGAGATTCACTTAAATCAAAGAGTGAACAAGTAGAAACTGAAAAATCTCGTTTAACCGAAGAAAATGCAAAAGAAAAAGTACGATTAAATCAAGAAATTCAAAATTTGCGTAACCAATTATCTTATCTTCAAAAGAATAATCAAATTAAACAAGCGGGTCAAGATAAAGAATTAGAACAATTAAAAAGACAGTTAGAAAATTCTCAACAAATAAATTCCGAAATTACCAAGAAATTTAATTTAACTCAACAACAAAAAGATGATCTCACAAATGAATTAAAAGTGGTTAAAGAACAACTTGATTCAATTAAAGAACAAATGGTTGAAACTATGCGATTTAAAGCTCAAGAATCAATGTTTATAAGTAAAGTTAAAAAATTAGAAGAACAAAATAATGATTTACATCAAAAATTACAACAGCAGCAACAATCTATTTTAGAAAAATCTAAATCTGTTGAAACTATTCAAACTCAAGATAAACTAACTCAAACTGATGAAATTTCAACAATAACAATAATTCCAAATACTTCCGAAAATATGAGTATTACTGCTACTACTGTTATTCCTTCAATTCCTGTTACTTCCGCTACTTCCGCTACTTCCGCTACTTCCGCTACTTCCGCTACTTCTGCTACTTCCTCTACTTCTGCTACTTCTGCTACTTCTGTTATTGCTACTCCTTTCGTTACTACTCCTTCCGCTTCTCCAGCTACTACTACTCCGGCTACTTCCGAACATTTAATACCTTCAACATCTGCTTTTCCAGTTATAGCACCTAGAGAGAAACCACCAGTTAAATTACAAAGAAATCGGATGCAGCAAATTATACAACAAGAAGAAAAACCAAAATCAAGTTCATCGGATCAAAAAAATGATGATGATGGTAAATTTAATAATAATGAACACTGCCGTAATTTGATTTAATCTATTTTAATTTAATTTTATTAATTTAATTTATTTATTTAATGAAAATTTACAGGAGAAAATATTTAATTTTTGTCTCGTTTTATTACGATATTCGTTTGTAAATAAATATTTTAAATTTTAATGGTTTTGATATAGAATTAAAAAATAAATAATGAATTAATTTATGACATTATTACTAACGACAACAAGATGAATAAATGCACGTTTTATTTGGAAATACATAATCGATCCACCAAGCTTGAAAATAACTGTAGTGACTCCAACAATGTCCTATACCAAAAAAAAAAAGTATTAAAAGTATTTGAGAAAATTGATTTCCATTCATAACTTGTAAACAATTGTAACCGCGCGGAAATAATCATATTATTTATTTTAAAAGAACTTTATTCAGTTATTCAAAGGTAGGCAAGAAATTATATTATAAGTATTATAAGTGGAAAATTCGACATTATCATATTGTCATAGAATCTCGATTAAATGATTATATAAAAAAACAAATGGGAAAGGTTCACTTTCCATTTTTCAGAAAAGAAATGGTCGACAATTAGATGTAGACATTTTCAAGGTAATTATATATCAAATAAATTTAGTTGGAAGCATATTGGATAATTCATCGAGATATAAATTAATATATAGAATAAAGTAAAAAGGTAATAATGAAATGGATGGAAATATTTAATAAGTATTGTGATTTTTCGAAATTTTGTAAAATCTATAATCATATATTAAAATTTGAAAAATTACACGTTAACAATTCGTACATTCACATCGACATTTTTTTTTTAATAAATAACACACGAAAGATCTCAAAGTCAAATAAAAAAAGATTTGTTTCATAGTTCTTCAACAGTACAAAAAGAGAGATTTTCCCACATATAACCAACATATAGAAATATATCATCTTGTCAGCGAATTTCTTGCAAAGAACGATGATTGCGACTTTTCAAGGATAAAACATAGCGAGATATATAAAAACTTGACAATTAAATAATAAATTTTTTCAATAGAATATATCAAAGATAATTTTATTTACTAAAATAAAAGAAATAAGTAATTTGATAAGAAAATAAAATATTCTTGAAAAAATATAAATTTACAATAAAAATATAAAACTATTTACATAATTTCATCTCAATAACGCGATTCTTATTAGAAATGACATTAATTTAATTGAAAAAAATCAAGTTTAAGTCCATATTCAGTATAATTGTTTGAAGTGATCTTTCGTTCATATCCTACCGGAGTAGGAATAATTATAGATTTTCCGATACCAAAACCTGGTGGTGGTGATGAAGTAGCACTTTTGCTAAATCGTTCAACAAATAGTGATACAAGTTTTCCAGTATTAATGTATTCTGTCAAACATTTTAACCAAAAAGAATACTTGTCTCTACCAATATGAATCTTATAATTTAAAGATTCTATAAATGCGAGTTCCAACTTATTAATTTCAATAAGAGGCATGTGAGTAATATCCGACCAAGTTTTATTCTTATAAACTGGTTCGATATGCCATTTGTGTGCCACCATTAGAGCGATCGTAAAAAGTTGATATTCGTTTGTAAAGTTTGCGGTGTTGCCTTTTTTCATGTACTTTTGTATATATTTCATTGCTATGAAAACGGTCGTTTTTGATACTTTTGCATTCAATATTGTCTAAAATGATCAAAAAAGGTATTAGATGTTAATTTGGATAGGTCATTTTTATTACTTTATGATAAATAATAAATACCTCAGCACAAAAATTTTTAAAGTGCAAGCTAGCATTACTGCGGCTGCCGATTTTCATTAAGCTCCACATTAATACGATAGTATCTGCCATAAACTTGCCCAAAGCATACGGTGTCGGTGCAGTTTTTTTCAACCAGTTACAAACGATAAGGTCTTGCATCGTTATAAATTTAAGTTGCAGGTAGTGTGAAGAAAAACGGTTGTAACGCGATTTAAGGCAATCAAATAAGTTGTGAAGGAATAGAGTGTTATCTTAAAGCAAAATTATCTTGTTTCGTTAAATTTGAGAAAAAATGAGAAGAGTTTTTCAAAAAAAAAAATAATGAATGTTGATTGTGTGGTCAAAAGAATCGGAAAGATCAACGGGGTTATCTTCTGATTCCAATAAAATGATACTGGTAACACAAATTTCTAGAAATTTCTCTAAGAATACTATTATTTCTAACAAAATATTCTTTTTTGTTCATAATTTAATTTTTAATGTATTAAATTTTATTTCTTTATATTTTAGTCAAAACAAATATTTGACATCCACAATATTTTTCCTTTGCTGCTTTACATATAAATAACAAATTATTTCTAGGCCACTTATCAAATCACAAATCATATAGTACAATTTTCATGTTTATTGTATATAAAGGAATAATTATATAATATGCATCCTTTGATCTAAATAAAGAATTTATTTTGCAAGAATTGTCTGTCTATATTGCTGTTTAAATTGAAGTGACAAAGGAATAATCAAGCAGATTATTATAATAAATAATTGCTAAAATAGTTACAATTTTGATATCATTTTATTATTTTTGATAATTGAACTTCAGATCATTCTGCAATAATATTTGCAAAAGTAAAATTAGTCAGGATCTGTGTGACTAGGAAAGGTGGTCACTTATTAAATCACATAAGGAATTTAGAGATATTTTAATATATATTATATGGGATAAACGTTGTAATTGGAAAGGTCATTTCTACTGGCCACATAGCCAATCATGTAGTAAAATTTTCATATGATCTAATTCGTATATAAAAGCATGAATAAAGAACTTAATATTTTGCAAGAAGAATTCTCTGTCATTGTTTGTGAAATAACAAACAATGGTCAAATATCATAAATCGGGTACCTGTCGGGTACCCGGCCCACGCAGAAGTTCGGGCACCTATGGACATCTGATATGACTATAATATAAAAACTGAAATAATTTATAATTGTAGCTACATATAAAAGTTTTTAATTATATAATAATTTAATCATAAAAATGCTATTAGTAACTTTGTAGACAATAAAAAAGTGCATCAACAGTAAAAATTATAGATTTATATCATTAAAATTGAGGGAATCATGAGTACTCAATGTTTAAACGGTCGCCAGAATTAAAGTGCTCATAATTCTCTCAATTTTAATTATATGGTCTATAATTTTTACTGTACGATATATTTTTTTTTATTATCTACAAGTTTAGTTAGTAGCATTTTCACGATTAAATTATATAATTAAAAATTTTTATACATACTACTATGAAAAATATTTCCGATTTGATTTTGGGTAAATTTTTATATAAAATCAGGAAATAATTTATCAGTTAAACTTGTAGACCTATATCACTAAAATTGAGAGAATTGTAAGTACTTTAATTCTGGCGGCCGTTTAAAATTTGAATATTCATGATCCCCTCAATTTTAATGATACAGGTCTAAAATTTTTACTGTCGATGTACTTTTTTTATTGTCTATAAGGTTACTTAGTAACGTTTTTACGATTAAATTATATAATTAAAAACTTTTATTTGTAGCTACGATTACAAAATATTTTAGTTTTATATTATAGTCATCAAATACCCGAATTTCCGCATGAGCCGGGTACTCAATAGGGACCCGATTTATGATTTGGACCAGTAAAAAGCATAAATAATTACATAATTTAAGTAATAATCAAATTTATTTTTTAAAGATTATTTAATTAATTGATAAATTGATTTTCATGCATTATGAATTTAAAAAAAATATAGTATTAGTGATTATATCCATCTATAACAGTTTTGCTTAACACCCTGCACTTTTCTTTTGTTTTAATAGTAGTAATAGTAATAGTATAGTGCTAAAACAATTTAGCATGTTAAGAAATAAAAATTACATATATGTCAGGAATATACACAGGATTTATTTTTATTTTTATTTTAATTTTTATTTATATATTTTAAATTTATTAATATATGTCTTGGTAATCTAGATTAGTTCAATTTAGTAAGATCTAAGATTTATTAATTATTATATTTATTAATATGTATTTTTATTTATTATATTTATTATATATGATATATATTTTTAAATAATAAAGAATAGCTTTGCTCAATTAAAATTAATGAACATCTTGTTTACTACTTGGAGTTATGTAACTTGGCATACACACACTAACACTTACAAAATAAGAGTTTTAGGTTAAACTTTATATTATTATTGAAATATGTTCAAAGATATATGAAAAGAAGAATTGTTACCAAAAAGAATTTGGTTAATATATTCTTATATTGTATAGTTTATTTTATAATCATTAGTTAGTTTAATAGTAGTATTATAGTTTGTATCACAATAATGAAATCTAATTTATCATAGGTCATAATAGGTTATATGGTCATAACTATAGTTGATCAGTAGGTCATAGGCCAACATTCTGTCATATAATTTCAATTTTAAGATTAATATAATCAAGTTTACATATATTGAAGTAATAGCAATAAGTGTTTAAAGTGTTTAAAGTATTAATTAATACTCAGCATGTTGTTACTAGTTGACATTTTGAACAAATTAATGAATCAAAAGGTGGTTTACAACTAGTAAACAGAAAGAAATTATCTATTATATTAATTAAATAAGGTTAAAATGACATTTAATTTAATAATATGGAAATTAATATGAAAAATTTAGAATTAGCTGTTAATAACAAATTTATAGGTCAATGTCAAGAATTTACCAAACAATAATTTATATTTAAAGAATATAAATTAATAAAAATTTACAGTAATTTAAATATGAAATATAGGTCTATTATGAGTAAATCAATAATTCTGTCAATTAGAATATTACAAGTAAATTAATTCACTAATTGAATTGGTAATTTTATACTAAAAGATTTTTACTTTAATCTAAATTTGTCTTGAATGAAAGAAAAATTCACACCTTTTGTAAGATTTAATTTTGATAAGTCAGTATTTCTTAACATTAATCTTTATGACAATCTTTCCATTAATTATTTTGACATCAATTTTGTCAGTGTTCTTGACAGTACTACTGATTTACATTATAATGATTCTAAACAAATAAAATAACTATACTAATATACAATAACAAATCTAATCTAAATATAATAATAATAATCAATATAATAATAAATAATTAAATGAAATGGAAACCATTGTAAGTTTGAAGTAGTATAAATTAAACATATGTTAACACTTGACAATAGTGATATAGATAACCAATTAATTTCTCGAAAGTGAATGGACGGAAATCACGTGATAATGTCTATCACACTATGTAATAAAAATAGAATGTCCTTTGGACAATTATTATTATTTAATTATTAGTTATTTATTTATTTGTTATATTATTGTTTGTCATATTGTTTATTATTATAGTATATTATAGTATATAGTTTATTGTTATGTTCATATAAATTGTTAAGAACTTTAACACAACTAATTATCAAAAAGATTGTCAAGATCAATGTCAAGAAAATTATGATACTGACAAAAACATTGTCAAAAATTTAATCTTATAAAAAAGGTAAGTTTTTCTTCTACTCCAAGATAGATTTGATAAATCTAAAATTGTAATTTAGATAGTAATCTCTTATTATTAATTCTTGTTATCAAATTAACATTTTTGTAACAATTCTAAAAGATATGATTATTGATTTACCCATAATAAACTTATATCTTTTTACTTAAACTTTGTTTTTTCCTTATTAATTTATATTCTTTGAATATAAATTCTTGTGAATAAACTTTTGATATCACTTGTAATTTTCTTAATAATTACATCTTAGCTCTTAACCTGAATTTCTTAAATTTTTTAATTAAGTTTAGTAGTTTAATTTTAATTCTGTAGTTTAGTAATTATCTTTGTAAATCAAGTTATTTCTATATAAACAAATTAAGTTCCTTATTAGCTTTTAATAGTTAAATTATCTTTTATCCATTTAGTTTATTTTCAATAAATTTCCCTCTGTTGACTAGTTGTAACTTTTTTGGAAAATAAATAAAATTAGTTCAAAAGCCAACTAGTAACAATGCTACTAATGAATATCAACTCATAACAATTACTTTAATTGTGATACACAAGTACTTATTTATAAAAATAAAACCTAGTGGATATTACATATATTCCTCTCACTGAAATAAACAATTTGGAAATTTCTTTTATGGAATTCTTATTAGTGGAACCAAAAAATATTAATTTTAGTTTAAATGCTTGAGAAATTATATAATTACTGGTAACAAACTTGAATGTTTGTTTGAATGAAAGATTTTGTAGAAAAATTATTTTTTCACAATATGAAAAATTGATAGTTAAAAGATTCCAATTTTTTTTAAACAAAAACATTACTCAAATATACAAATACTGAATACGATTGAATTTCTTTCAATAATCTGATATTTATATATCATTAAAATTAAATGTATTTTGTTATTTTTATATTTTAGCAAATAAAAAATGTTTTTAACAAAAATAAAAAAAAGGTATCTATGCATCTTGCGATGTATTTATGTATTAGGCTTGCATATTTTTATTAAATTTAAATTTTCAATAATATATTTTTTGATGTATGATTATAGAGAAGGACAAAAATATATTAGTATTAACTAATTTTTCTCGTTTTATAAAATTACCAAATAATTTTGATAAAGATAATTTGTATTTGATATTTTCAATAACTTAAATGGAAGACAATTAATACATTGAAAAAAAAATGTGAAGCTAAAAATTAATTTATATTATAAAAAATTTTATTTTAGTGGATTAATCATAATGATTTTATCATATAACCAAAGATTTACAACTTTATTAATTTATTTATTACCTTCAATATTTAAGTAAGGTCACATTTCATTATTCCATTTTTATTCCTTATCTCTCTCTTATATGTTTATTAAATGTGTTCTCGAAAGATTACTTTTTTGTAGATGAGGATTTACCAAAACAATAAACTGGCTATATTTGGTTATTACAAGTAATTTGGACTTTTTTTTTTTTAAAAAAAAAAATGCATCCAGTTAAATCGACGATATAATCTTCACATATGAAAACATGTGGCAGTTAATCACAGGACGAAAACTTTGGGGGTTCAATTGAATACTCTCGTATGCTCCTTTAAGACACCTTTTCTAATACGAATAAAATATTAAAAAATATTGTAACCGAACAAAATGTTAACCACGCGATTTGTACGGTTTGTACGCAATTTTATTCACAAAGAAGGCATAAATTTTATTTGCCTGTATACAAAAAAAAAAAATCAATTAATTTTAAAATTTTTATATATTTTATTTTATTTTTTTTTTTCCATTTTACACTCTCTACAAATATATATTTTCTAGAAAAAACTTTATATATTACAATTATTTTAATTATTTTTATAATATAAAAAAAATTAATAAACCATAAATACAAAACAAACAAAAAAAAAAGTTTATCTTAAAATTTGATTAATTCCATTCCCTTTCTTTTTTCCTTTAATTCAGGAATCCTCTACATTTCGACGCTCCACAATGGCAAGGAATCTTATCAAAATTATCAATTGGAAACTAAATACATTAATTATGAACGCAAGAAAAAGGTGAAATCATATAATTTATGATTTAGTATTTATTTATTAATTTGTTTAGTACAAATATGTAAATTTATTTGATTTGTAGTGTTAATTAGTGAAGATAGTGAAGATAGTGAAAATAGTGAAAATAAATAAATAATTAGATCAAAAGAGATCAAAAGAGATAAATATATATATATAAAATATATAAAAAAAATATATGTAAAAAAAAAAAAAGATATAAAAAAAAAATAACAAAATAAGAAGGATAATATCATTACCTTATAATCATAAGTAATCTCCTCATTCTTTTGAATATCCCGTTTTGCATATATGGCAATCTTCTTGGCTCCTTTAACGTTAAGAATTTTAGCATTGCAATTTGGCTGATTTATTATTAAAAAATTATAAAAACAAATAAAAATGATTCATTTAGATCATATTCAATATATTTAGTATATTTAATATATTTAATATATTAAATATATTAAATATACTTAATATATCTAATATATTCAACATAATTAATATAATTAAATAATTGATAATCACATCTCACGTATACATTACATATCTTACAATATCACACATACACATATACATCTCTCTCTTTCTCTCTCCTCCCTCCACACACACATATACTTACTTCACATGAATGATTTATTAATCTCGCATTATTTCCCATTCGGGTAGCATCGATTATAGTATCATCTCCAACTCGAAACATATAACTACCTTCAATTCCTGTAGCTCTATATTTTCGTTCCCTCAAATCAGCAACGGATTGCCTAACCAATTCTCCTGTATATTCAATTATGAATTCACCAGATTTAATTTTTTCCAATGTAAATAATCCATAATGATGAATGGGAGATTTGGCAATTGTAAGTTCACGTTCCCTTGATTTTAATGGATTAAACCCATAATTATCATCTGCCATTCTAGCTTTTAGTTCACGTCGTTTGGCTCTTGATTCTCTAGGACTAGGTGCTGGTGCCGCGGCTGTTGCATAGGGTGTACCTGCTATCCCATATTCTACATATTTTCGTTTTTCTTCGGGTGGAATTTTATAATAACCTTCAGTTCTCGCACATCCTGTTTTATTTACAACCGGGGACGGACGACGATCTTTAGATGTTTCTTTTTTATAATTTATATATAATATATATATATATATATTAATTTAATCTGACAAAAAAAAAAAGAAAAGAAAACTAATCTATTATAATAATAAAATTATATAATTAATAATTATAATAACTTACTTCCTGACCTTACAATAGATCCACTTTCGTTTTCTGAAGTATCAACGGTTGGTTTACAATCGGTATCAAGTGATTTATTCTTTAATTTTAAGAATATTTAATTTCAAATAAGTTTACGAACGATTCTGAACATTCTGAACAGATGTGATATATTAAATATTTTAAGTATAGTTTGTTAAATTTTATACATACCTCAATCACAATGTTATTATTATTATTATTATTACTATGACTATTATTATTATTATTATTATTATTATTATTATTATTATTATTATTCGATGAATCAAATCCACTAAATTGTTTTGTACTATCGCTACTCTCTGATACATCATCTAAATATCGTGATCTATAACGAATATAATAATTTTAATTTTAATAATTTTTTTATAATTTATTATTAATTATTATTATTAATTAATTAATTAATCAATTATTCTTATTGTTTTTATATTTATTATATATTATTATTATTATTATTATTAGGAATTAAAGAAATTAAAAGATAGATAAAAACATTTATCATAAATGTTTAGGTCTTAACTGTTGTTTCTTCTTAGATTCTGCTTTTTTAGACATGATATTTGGTGAAGTCGAAGTCATTTTTGAATGACGAATTCCTTTAGTTTTCTGATTAGCAACAACTACTCGATTCTTTAATTCTCTTGGCTTTGTAAAGGCGGAACTTTTTCTATTAGAACTTGTCTTTTTCCCCGTCTCCGATGCACTTGAACAATTGGATTTATTGGATTTATTTGATTTATTGGATATAGATGATGTTATTTTACTGGTTTCTGATGCACTTGATGCATTGGATTTTTGAATTTTTTTTATTTGATTCTTTGGTTTGGAGGATTGAGTTGGTTTCTGATCATCTTCACCTTCATCATCTACTATAATATCATCTACTATAATATCATCTATTATAATATCATCTATCACAATATCATCTATCATATTATCATCTTTTATATTATTACCATTATCTTCCACTATATCATTTTCAACTTTAATTTTTTCTGATGATAAAGATAATTTATTATCATTCTTGTCATTCTTATTTTTACTATTATTACTTATTACAGTTGCATTTTTATCTGATTCAGATGATGAAGAATAATCCCAATCACTTATTTTGGGTCCAATTGAAGGTTTGTTATTTGATTTTTTATTTTTTGAATGAATCGTATCATAAAAGTCATCATCTGAATCAGATGAATCATTAGCTGTCGAAAGGTGACCATATAAATCACCATCTGACGTTGAATAATATCTATCTTTATTCCTTGATGATTTTTTAGATTCAAATTTTCTGTGATTTTTTAAACTACCACCACTTTCTTTAATATCAATTTTATCTTCTCTATTTCTGGTAGTAGAATTTCTGATAGTAGAATTTTTGGTATTAGAAATTCTATTAATAGTAGTAGTAATAGTTTTAGTAGAAGATGATGATGTAATATTTTTTATCGATTTATTCTTTTTATTTTCATCTTTAGATTTGTTAAGGTTGGAAAATTTTCTGGCACTAGGAATATCCGATAATGAAGTAAATGCCTCTGACCAACTAATTCCTATTTTATGATCCTCTTCTTCCTCAAATTTAATTATATCTGAAGAATTTAAATCAAAACTCTTATTATTATTATTATCTTTATCTTTACTACCACCACCACCATTATCTTTATTTTCATTCCCATTTTTTTCTTCATTACTACGAGTGAATTGTGGTTTTTCCGGTAAATCCCAACCATGAACGGAATCTCGTTCTTTATTACGCGTATTTTCTTTATCTCTACTATATCCGCGAACTCGAGAACGATTTGATTCACGATCATGTTTACGATTACTACTATCATATTCTCGACTTGAAATATTATCCCGTTCTCGAATACGATTAGATTCACGATGTCGACTACTACGACTATTAATATTATTACTATGATTATTACTACTACTACTATTATTATTATTATTATTATCACGATCACGATTCCAATGTTGGAAACCTGTTGGTGTGATCGTTGTAGGTGGACTTCTATCACGACTTCGACTTCTTTCAACAGTTGAATATTTATTACTTTTATTTGATCGATCTCTTGAATTTCTTCTTCGGCGATCCGAATTAAATCGATCATTACTTTCATATTGTGATGAGATATCATTATCTCGCCAAGATGGTCGTGATCTCGAATCTAAATGTCGCCAAATTGAATCAGGGATATTGGAGGTAATACTACTCTTAGTTTTATTATACGTTTTGTCATATGTCTTATCATATGATTTGTCATATGCTTTATCATATCGATTTGATGATGAATGACCAGATGTTGATATTCGAGATACGGATTCTTCGGAATTCGGATCAATTTCACCATCTTCCATATCATTATCAATACTTTCGTTTGAAGGTATTTCAGAATTTTGTTCTTGTTTATCTGAAATATTATTGTTATTATGATTATGATTATTATTATTATTATCATCACTATAATTATTATTGTTATTAATATAATTACTATTATTATTATTATTATTATTACTATTATTATTATTATTATTATTATTATTATTATTATTATTATTATTATTATTATTATTATTATTATTATTATTATTACTGATTTCTTCTTTATTGGGAGTTTTTGTTGGAGTAATAGGGAGTGAGGAAAATTTATTTTTTATCTTATCAAATGAACGTGGGGGTGGTGGTTCCGAAGGGATTTTAATGGGTGCTGCTGCTGGTGGTGCCATCGATGGTGGTGTAATTGGTGGTGGTGGTGCCATTGGCAGTTGTGCCATTGGCGGCGGTGGTGCCATTGTCAGTGACGGTGGAGGTGATGGTATCTCATCAATTTCCATATCAATATCATTAGCCAACGGAGTTGTGTGTTTACTATTATTAATTGGTGAGTGTGGTTCAATTAGTTCTTGTTGTTGTTGTTGTACTCGAGTTTCGGTAAGTATTTTTTCGATTGCTGCTTTGAATTTTGACTCTAAAAAAAAAAAAAAAACCGAAAATTTAAAAATTTCAAAAGAAAAGAGACACAGAGAATACGCGATTTGCCCACTTTATGATTATTTATTTAAAAATTATACATAAATGTAAGTACTTACTATCATTATCTAATTCAACTTTAACGGAGTGACCTTCGGAAATTTGTTTACCATTGAAACGAATCACAGCTTCTCTAGCAGAATGCAAGGCCGTACCATCTGTTTCTCCGAAGAATGTGATTCTGGCGATACCATGACTTTGATGATGATGATTATTATTATTATTACTTTCTGGGTACCTTTTAACTTCACAATTTTGTATAAAACCACATTCTTCGAAAACCTCACGAATTTGTCGCTCCGTTGTTGAATTAGTGATAGAATATACGAGAACTGAAGATTCTTTACGATTTTTCGATTCCGTGTCTCTCTATTAAAAATGGAAACAAAAAATGAAATTAAAAAAATTAAAAAAAAAAAATGTAATTATTAAATTAAAAAAAAAATGAATTTTATTACCTCATACGTAAGCACTTGTAATGAATTACAATATTTTTGACGTTTCACGACTAAATTCAAAGCATAGTCTCGATTAACGCGTGGGTCCCCTAAAGGGTGTCGTAATTGCTAAAAAAAAAATTAATCAAATTAAATATATTAATAATAAAAATTTTTTATCAATTTGATTTTAATTTAATTGATTCGAAATAAATAAATATAAAAGAAATTAAATGACAACACTCACATGTTCTAAGTTTCTAGCTACAGCAGCGTTCGTTTCTTCCAAGGTTATAGAAGAAAGTTGTGGGTCATAATATATTATTATAGGATCTCCTTCAACTTGATTCCCTTGTTGAGCATTTATCAAAGGACTAGTAATATTAGTTGCCACTGAAGAAGAGGAAGAAGAAGAAGAAGAAGTAGTAGTAGTAGAAGAGGAAGAAAAAAAGTGAGAAGTAGTAGAATAATAAAGGTTAGGTTTAGATTCTTTTAATATAATTTTCGTGTTAGTATCAACTTCAATTTTTGAAAAATATTCGGGTACATATGTTGTTATATTATTATTATTATTATTATTATTATTATTATTATTATTATTATTAGTATTAGAGTTTATGGTGGTGGAAGTATTGATAATTTTAGTGTTTGTGATAGTAAAAGGGTTGATAATGTTAGTGGTAATGATTGGGTCTATTATCGTCGTCGAAATAATGGTAGTATTATTTGGCGAATTAACGGCAACATCAGACATGAATTCTTCCTCAGACTCTTGAAAGGGCATTTATAAAAATTATTGAATACGGATGAAAAGTAACTTTTGGAAGAAATTTAAAATTGCTCAACAAAAAGATAACTATTGTTTAAAAAGAGGTTTTCTTTTTTTTTTTTAATATATATGTATATATATAAAATAATAATAATAATAATAATAATATAATGAAAATGTTAGTTTTTTTGGAGAAGATGAAATTACATAAACCATAGTGATCTTTTTATTTATATTAATATAATAGATCACGAGGAGATGATTAATCACATGATGATAGTGAGTTTCTGTTTGACAAAGGTTGATACATAAATAACAAACAACGATTTGAGTAAGAGTAATTGAATAATTTTGAGTAAATTTTAAGTAAATTTAATATTAATAATATTAATAATATTAATAATTACAAATTTATCCAAGTTGTTGTAGAAGTTTTAAATATTCCGGAAACGCGTCCTCTCATAATCATCTGTTATTTAAAAAATAAATAATTATATATATATCAATATAATTTATTGGTATAATGTCAATAATGTCAGAGATATATGTGATAATGATAAATACCAGAAATCACGTGAAAGAAGCCAATGAAATAAGAATACTGTCCATATTTATAACTTTGTATATCTAATTATTATTGACGATAGGTACAACTTTTTTCTTTTATTTCTTCTGGGGACTTCCTAAACTTTTTCTGACCTTTTCAGATTTTATAGATTTTATAGATTTTATGGATTTTATGGATTTTATGGGTCTCCGGAATTTCGCCTTCATATGTTTCTTAATAGGTATAGTACGTCCGTCAACCATCAAAATACCAATCCTTTTTTATTTTATAACTACTGAATATGTCTTGTCAGGTGGTGGAAGGTTATGTCACGAGAGAAGGATGATGAGGAGTACAATCTAAACAATCATTACAACTATTAAAAATAATAGATGGTAGTCACCCTCATTTTTTTAGTTCATTTTTTGTAAATACAAGTACATCATAATTGAAGAAGAAGAATACATTGAAGAGAGTGTCATGTACATCTTTCCTGTAGGTAGGTGGTGAGTATTTCTTACGGTATCATTTGTCTAACTAGGTTTCAAAGAAGTTCAGAACAAGAAGAGAATCAAGAATGAATAAGGCACGGATGAAATAAGGCAAGAATGAGAATCAAGTGTCAAATAATAATAATAATAATAATAATAATAAAATTAAATTACAGTTTTATTTATTAATAAAATATTAGAAATGGTAATCTTATAAGAAATAAATGAGATAAATGAGAGAATTATTATAAGTAATTATTTTCTCATTTAAAACTAAAAATATTTATGTATATATTATTACTTTAATAAATAATTATTTTATTATTAGGATTTTTTTTTTGATAGATTTATGAATTTTGCAAGTTTTATAAGTTTTAATTTATAAACTTATAGTGTATAAGTTCTTTAGCTTGGTTTGATCAATCATTTAAGATATTTTAAAAATATTCCAAAAAAATTATTTATATAGTAAAAAAATGGTTCTTGTAATTAATATTTATTAAAATAAAGAAAATAAATATGATCTCAAAATTTATTCTATCAAAAGTGAATTGATTTAGATGAATTGAATTGAATTGAATGAATGAATCACCATATCATTTTATATTTGTTTTATATTATTATATAGAGAATAAACTAAAAATTAATTTATATCTTATTATATTAAATATATCTATATAAAATATACATATATTACATATCCCAGCATAATAACGTTTCACGATAACAGCAAATTACCAGGATAAATGAGGAATGAAAATATTACGTAATATAAAAATAAAAATAATAAAAATAAATAAAAACAATAAAAATAATAAAAAAACATTTAAACAAACTAAATAAATTTAAATAATTTAAATTTTAAACAAGCTAATTAAATATTAAATATAGTTATTGTATTCCTGTATTACAGATTGCATTTAAATGTAGAACAAGCATTTTTTTTCACATATTCCACATAAATGGTCCTTTTTTTCTTTTTTATTTCCTGCTTCACATTATTTACACTCACTCACTATTTATACCATTTACATTATTTACTTTTCACACACTATTTGTTTTTTTTTTTCTTTTAATAATTTAATAACTAAAATATTAAATAATCAATAATATTATTAAATATTATCCAATGATTATTATTAACTAGTTGAAATCTAGTAATTATATTATATAATTATATTAATTATATATATTAAATTATATTGATTTATATTAATTAATAAATATTATTTTCATTAATTATAAATAAAGAAAAATAGCATTCATTAAATTAAAAATGAATTAAAAATTTAAAATAAAATTAATTATAAATTATAATTACCATCATATTGTGTTGTTAAATTTATCCAAATATTGTTTTTTTATCCATTTTTGTATATTATTATTTGATAATAAATAATAAAATGATTTGATTTGCGCGGGATTATTGCGATTTATAGGATTATTATGGATTATTATGGATTATTGTGGATTATTGTGTTTTGTGTTTTATTGTGGTTTATTGTTTTTTTTTTTTTTATTGTTTGAAAAATGATTTGAAAATTGTTGCGAAATTAGTTCAATTTCATTTAATTTTTAAAAATAACCAATCAAAATATTTACCGGTAAATTAGCAACTTAATTTAATTGGATTGTATAAATAAATTAAATATAAAAAATATCCTAACTGCTAAATATGTTACTCAATTTTATAACATTTATTATTTATTCTATTATTATTCTATTCATTATTCTATTCAATTACTATTAACTATTATATTTACTTCTACTCGATTAGTTTACTGAATTATTTCGTTTACTTGCATCAATAATTAAAATATTTAAAACATTTATAAAGTTAAAATAAACTAAAATAGACTAAAATAGGCTAAATAAACTAAAATAGGCTAAATAAACTAAAATAAGCCAAAATAAGTGGGGAATTAGTGAAAGTGACATTTTTATCCCTTAATATATATGAATATATATGAATATATATATATATACTAATTATACTAATCATTATATAATTCTTCATCATCATCATTTATATACTTTCATATTAGATACATCATCATATTAATATACTTTTATATGATTTATATATATGTATTATTATCTATGTACATATAAATAGATGTAAATATAAAAATATATAAATATAAATGTATATAATTATAATAAATATATATAAAATACATGTGTATATAAATTATATCAATTATATGAATTCGATAGTAAAAAAAAAAAAAATTAATGAAATCAACCCTTTTCAAAATTATGATTTAACTTATCTTACCCTTCTAATTTGAGTATAATGTAATGTCTATTTTATTCTATTTTCGCTAAACAACAGTTTTTAATGTTCTATGCAGTGTGCAACCCATAAATCTCCTGCTTGGGGCTTTTTTTGTACTTGCATCAATTTATTATAATTAATTTTAATTTTATCGATTTTTAATATATAAATCGATATTATAGGATAATTCTTAACATGTATTATTTATTATAATGATTATTATATCGAATACAATTATTATAATTATTATCAGCTATATTTATAGTTTTTTTTTTTTTTCGTTCTCTCCCGTTATCATAATACCTGCTATATTTAATTATTATTGGAGATTATTATTTTTATTTTTATTATTTTTATTATTAATTATTGGATATTATAATAAGTAATAATAATTATAAAATTACACCATCACATATCACCACACATCATCAACATCATCCTTCTTTCAACTTATTATTCACTTATTCACAACTTACTTAAAATTCATATTTTTGATATTCATATTCAAACATTCATTCTTTATTCATTCTTTTATTATTTTTTAATTCATGATTTATTCAATATAACTCATCATATCATATCATATATGTATAACTCATATAAAACTTTATATATTACTTTATTATATACTCAAATATCCCAAATATTCAATATTAAACACAAACAACAACACAAAAAAAAAAAAAAAAAAAATCATCAACAACAACACAACAGAAATCAACAACACCCACTTTAATAACTTTTATAGTCATCTACCCAGACTATCAATCATACTATCATCGTACTAGTTTTTTTTTTCTTACAACACACAAAAAAAAAAAAAAAAAAGAGTGAATATACTCTATTTTTCTTTGACTTACCCTTTTTTTTTTTTCTTACCCTTTTCTTCTCCCCTTTATTATTATTATTCCCCTATTTTTATCTTTTTCTCTTTTTTTTTTTTTCTTTTTTTTTTTTTTGATTATTTACTTTACTTTATCTTATACTTTTATTCTTTTACGTTGTCTATACGTTGTTTATATGCCGCTTGTTCTATAATACATTTATAAATAAATAATATATCTTAAAGAGATATCTTATTTTTTTTCTGTTTTGTTGTTTTTTTTTGCTTATCAAATAGTATGTCGTCGTCATAGAATCATTAAACAAAAATCCCGCTTATTCTTCCGCTTCTAAAATATTCTATATATATATATATACATTGATAGTTTCACTGATAAAATATATATAAAAAAAAAAAAAAAGTCGTGTGCTCTTTCTGATATATATTTATAATATTTGTATCCCTTTTCTCTTTGTGTATTTTATTCATTCCTATTTTCTGTTTTATTCTGTCTACTCTACATTTTACACCACTTTTTTACTACATTTACTCTTGATATTCTGAGTTTTTATATTCTGGATTCTAAAATTGTCTATCTTCTTAATATTCTTATCGTGTTATTACTCTAGTACTTTACATACATACTTTAAAAAAAAAACTTATATAGACTATATTATCAACAAACATTATCATATTACAAATATTAAAAAATTATTTTTACCTTTATTATTAATAGAATATTATATCAAGGGTTGTAAGAGGGGTTTAAACTATTTCTTCATTTACTTCCATTTCAAATATTATAGAGAAAAAAGGCTTGCTCATTTTGTTATTATTATTATTATTATTATTATTATTATTGTTATTATTATTATTATTATTATTATTATTATTAGCAGTATTCACAGTATTTCATAGTATTATTAATATTATTATTTAGCAGCTGCAAAAAAATACAAAATAATAAGAAAAAGAATAATAATATCAATCAAATAGGAAGAAATTATAATATCAAAAAATAATAATAATCAAAAATAATCAAAAAAAAAAAAATCATAACAAATCGAAATAATATTAAATAGAAAAAGAAAGTATTCTACTACAATTTGATTGTAGTGTTAGTCAATCGTATACTTTGAAAAAAAAAAATGGAATCCATCACAGATCGTCCTCTGCTACGACGGTCCTTAAGGATACATAATAGGGATGAAAGAAGACGACGTGAAGAAGAAGAACGTATAGAATTAGAAGAACGAAAAGCTTTATTACGTATTCCTAAACGACTTACCAAACAAAAAACCACTATACGGGCTTCTTCTAAAATTACCACTGCCACTATTACTTCTTCCTCTTCTTCCTCCACCAAAAATGTTCATCATATTAATTGTGATCATAATCATATTCATAAATCTAAAAGGAAAAAGATCTTTCAGTATAGTTTTTCTCAATTAAATACTTCTCCTACTCATCTTACAAATATTCCGTTAGATATGTTATTATATATGTTGGAATTTTTAGGTGAGTAATTTTTTTTTGTTTTTTTTTTTTTTTTAATAATGTAAATTTTTTAATTAATTTATTTTTTTACGAATTTTTTAATTAATTAATAATTTAATGTCGCGTAAAAAAAAAAATAAAATAATATCAAATAATTAAACATATTATTATTAGATGGTAAGTTCATTTTCGATCAATGTTACAAAGTAATAAAATTATATAGTGGTATTTTGGTTGTTGATTGTGGAATTAAGAATAAATAAATTCGGATCGGAGAAATTGTGGATGAATAAATTTCGTGGATCAATTTTTGTTGATATATAAAATTTTGGAGGTCGATCTTTCCAAAAAAAACTACAAACAAAATGTGGTGGAAACATATGTGTGTGTGGAAGATAATTTGTGGATGAAATTATGGATAAAAAATCATTATTAAATAAATTTTAAGATTTTTGCGAGTGGAAAGCGTGGATTCGCATTACATAATATACAAATGACATACATATTATATTATATATTAGATATTTTATAATTTATATCAAATTTCTCAATTCTTCATCTTTCTTTCTTTCTTTCTTTCTTTTAAAAAAAAGGTCCGTCGCTAGCAACCATGGAACAAGTTTCAAAATCATTTCGCTATATCATCCGTGGTCGACATAGTCCATATCGATTCTTATATTATAATCTATTAGCAATGTATTGTCCACAAGATGATATGAATGTATTAGAAAATAATGAGCAAGAACATCCAAATCATGCACCCGTTCTACCAAAAATAACGAAAGCTTATGCTAAAAAGGAAGCGAGGGAATTTAAAGTTTCAGATTGGAAAGTGTGTATCTTCAATATTTTTTTTTTTTTTAAAAAAAAAAATTGGATTGTGATTTTTTTTAATAATTTTAATAATAAATTCTAATACTTCCAATTTATATATATATATATATTAATATATTATTTATTTATTTATTTATATATTCATTATATATTTATTAAGATTCAGGTGATTATTTTTTATTAATTTATTATTTAATTTTATTACATTTTATTACATTTATTAAATTTATTATATAATTTTCAGTTTGTGGAATCCTACAAATATTACGTAACTCAAGTATGTACAATCTGTGGTGATTCCGGTGATCCAATTCCAATATGGGAAGTTCGTTTATGTCGATTTTGCATTGTCAGGCAATTAGTCAATAAGAGTGCATTATATGCGTACACTTTAACCGCTAAGGAAATCGAAGTGCTCAAGGTTTGTACATTAATTAATTAACATAAAATATTTAATATTTATTTATTAATTATTATTAAATTACATATGTAGTCATGGAAGACTTATGTATATGATTTAGGCATGCATTGTACTTTCTATCTACGTACTCACCTTGATCATCTTCGACGTCAAAAATATTCTGATCCTCAAATCGCTTTGGATGCTGATGTTGAAAAACGTCAATCCGAAAGGTTTGAAAAAGAAAATCTTAAACGTAAGAGAAAGCAAAGGGAACAAGAGGATTCTTATATAGAACGAACGGCCGCCGTACTTCAATGTTTTAAAGATCTTCGACTAAAAGCTGATTTGGCTGTCATGGAAGAATGGTGGTTTCCTAAAGAACTTAAATTAGAGATTCAAGAGGTATTTAATTTTATTTTATTTTATTTTATTTAGTATTCTTGAATTCTGGATATTAATTTTTATATATATATATATATATATATTTAATACATTTTATAGTACATTTCTAATAAGACTAATAATAGTTTGGCTCGTAAACGTCTTCGTCTCTCTATGGAACAAGATCATGATACTAGTAACAATAACAATAACAATAGTAATAATAATAATAATATTACCACCACCACCATTAATACTTCTTCAACAGTAAAAAGTAAAACTCTTCGTAAAACTTTAGATGAGATCATGCAAGAATTACGTCAAGTAGTCGTTCCACGAGTTGAAAGATTAATGGATTTAAATCATAGATTATTGGGTGATAATATACCAATTGAAAAACTGCGGATGGATTTGGATTTAAAAACTCGAAGAATGCATGATGATTATGTATTAGGTGTTCAAGCTTATTCTTCATCTCTATCATCATCATCTTCTTCTTCACCGTCATCTTCATCATCATCTTCTTCCTCACTTTCACCTTCATCCTTCGAGTATCCATTAACCGCTTCACGAACTCGAGGTGAAATTCTAAGTTATTTCACTCGAGAAAAAAAATTCGAATCATCTATCAACATTACATTCTTTTCTTCGGTGACACCAGAAGATTTCTTATGTTATTCATTGGATGTGAAAAGATTTGTACAAGATGCTCGTGAGTGGTGGGCTCGTCGAGGTAAAAAACCACCACCAGACAAATGTGGAGAATTATATTTGGCCCGAGTTCGTAAACGACAAGCTTGGCTTAGGAATGATATGTCATTAGTGCAAACTCAAGAAAATTGGAGGAGAGAATTATTGGAACGTAAATTACGAGAAAAGGTTGATTGGTATTTTACGGATTTACCAAGGTGCATAACTGATCTTAGAAATTTATATGAACGTAATTTACAACGACGGATGAGAAATAGAGAACATTTCTGGATGAAGGTTCAAAATATAATTTTAATTTAATTTAATTGATTTAATGGGTTTTTTTTTTAATTAGTTTTATTTTTAATTTAATTTAATTATTGGTTTGTAATTTTTAGGGTATGTCATCACAAACTGAAATGGAGGAACCACCAGAAAGATTGAAACAAATGTATAGTGATTATGAAGATTTCATAAAGAATTGTAATGGATTTTGTTCAACTGAAGATGGTTACTGCGGTTGTTTAGAATGTGTGTTTTTTAATTATTTATAATTATTTTTATTATTATTTTTTATTTTTTTTTATTTTGAATATTTTATTGATTTATTAATTTATTAAATATTTTTAATACTTTAAAGATGCTGCGAAAGACATAATCAGAGCAAATACAGTATTGAGACGTAAAGAATGGATGGATTCACAATTACGAAAATTCAGAGATATTGGTTATCGTGGTCCTGAATATCTATTATGTCCGGAAGCAAAAGAAGAATATTACTATGCTGCTAGAAGTAAGTAAAATAAAATAATAATAAGTAAAATAAAATAATAATAAAAATATATTCAAGAAAAAATAAAAATAATGCTAATTTAATTATAAATCTAATAATTTCAGATGTTACAATTCCAAAAAGAGCTGCAGTTATGTACATTTGTCGAGCTGAAAGATTTATGCAACGATTACTTAACGAGGTTCCAACATTTTCGGCTGAATTAATTACTGCCGATGCACGAGATTGGTATAAACGTTGTCTTGGGATTGTATCAGATTTTTATGATCCACCACGTCGACCTTGTTCATGGACAGCTTTTACTTCACATTGTTATTATTATGAAGTTCATACCAACGCAATGGATCGACCTGATGTTAATTTTACCATTCAAAAAATTAGAGAATGTGAAAAGATTCGATTAAGTCGATTAACACAAGCTGATAATGCGGCAAAAAAATCACAATTAACACCAAGTTTCTGGAACAAAGCGATGATCAAAAGACCTATTGATGGTGTATCATTTGCTACTAGAGTTAGATGGATAAATTCAAATGGATGGTTTTCATTAAATCAATTAGCTCAATCTTGGGTTTATGATGAAGATCAAGCTCCATTAAGTGCGTTAGAACCTTTTATTAAAGAAAAAGTTAAACAAATGGAAAGAGATAAACGTAAAGAAGATATTTCATCAAGGTAAAATATATATATATATATATATATAAATTAATAATTAATATTAATATTATATAAATTTTCCGTGATGTGATTTTATAATAATAATAATAATAATAATAATTTTTTAAAATTATTCATATAAATAAATAGAATTAAGGAACATCCAATATATCAGGAAATTTTCAAGGAAATTGATGAAGATGCCGAATTCTTCTTACGTGCTACATATGAAATTAATACCATCTATAAGGTAATTAACTTTATTTATAAAAAAAATTATAATTAATATTTTTTTTTTTTATAAACAATAATAATTTGATTAATTGTTAAATTTCAGGTCTCTAATCTTTATAAAGCTCATGTTGAAGATGTTGAACCAGGAATTGATCCCGACAAAGTTGTACGACAAGTTATCGATCTTATTAGAGATGTGAAAATGGGAGTCATTAGCAAAAGTAGTTTATTTGTGGCTGATCGAGAAAAATTGGCGGAAGAGGAAGATGATGACGATGATGATGGTGGTCTTAATAATAATAATAATAATAATAATAACAATAATAATACCAATGGGGTAGGATTAATTATTAATACAAATAACGCTACCAATAATAATAATAATAATAATAATAATAATAATATTCCTACTTTACACATTGCAACCAATCAAACGTCCACCATTCCAACAAATATTAATGATATTGTTAATATTATTACAAGTGATGATGATAATAATAACAATAACAACAATAACAATTTATCATCATCACAAACCAACACCATGATGATGCAAGATGTGATGACTGATGACATTGAAGTTGCATAAATACTTTATACATTTTATTCTCCTCTTTTTTTTTTAAAAAAAAAAAATGGTTTCTTTATTATGGATTAGAAGTTGACGGACTCGATGAACAATATTTTCTTTTAAATAATTATTTTCTCATTAACATTTCAAAATATAACCAGTGTTTATTCTTTTTTTTTCTTCTATCCCTTTAAAATTTCAAAAAAAAAACTCCCCGAGCCTTTTTTTTTTTTTTTTTTTCTTTTCAATTAACCAAAATTTTAAAATTAGTTTCCTATTTCTTTTCTTTTTCTTCCTTGTTCTTGCTCCTCTCTCTTGCTTTTTCTTTTTCTTTTTTTTTCTTTACATTATTGGGTTCAATTGGACGTGAGGGTTTTCTTTTTTTATGTGAAATAGTTAAATAGTTACATATCAAATTTTTCAATAGGAGATGCTTTTCTTTCTATGAATGCATTCTTCAAAGTGCATTTTGTTTTATCAATTCTTTTTTTTTTCAATTTGCAGCTTTTTATAGCCTATAATAAAAATGATTAGTAAAATGTAATTTCTTTTTTTTTAAAAAAATGAACAAATGATTTATTAGTAGCAACATAATAACATAGCATCTGTTATCCTTTTCTACCCAATAAATTGAAAAATTCATTGCAAATTTTTTTGGTTTTAAATTGTAAATAAAATAAAATAATAATAATAATAATAATTCAAATAAAAAAAAAATAATAATAAATTTAAAATTATTTTTAGTTAAAATCTTTACAAATGAATAATGCTTATAACCAATTTATTTAATTTAGAATTCAAAAGAAATCTTTAAATCAATGATTTAAAAAAATCATATTTCTTAATATTCAGGGTCTTGAATTTTTAACACAGATGCATTGTTATAAAAAAATTTACTAGATAAAATCTTTTATACTATAAAAGGTCAAATCCACAATAAATAAACCTACACAACAATAACAAATGTTTTTGTACACAAGATTTTTGTGTATCGTACAAAAAAAAAAAAACAAGAAAAAGATAGATAAAACTGATTAGATATCAAAAGAAAAAAGCATTAACCATATAAGAATTTATATTTGGATTTAGAACAAAAATCCAACTTCCCACACACATGTTAAAGTCATTTTGTGTATAGTTACCCAGGTGAACCTTTATTTTGAATATGGTTTCGAATGCAAAAACAATAGACCAATAGACTCAAATGGATTCGTCATACCTTGTCAATGATGAGTTTCATTTATCTATTTTGATTTTTCATTTAAATATTACGTTTTATTTATTTATTATTCTTACAAGTCATCTCGTTTAGTCAGGTCAGGTTTTATGATATAATAGGCAATCGTCGGCTGATAATCTGTAAACTATATATAAACCTCCATTCTCAAACGTAAAATTTCAACCTTTCCTCCATTTATTATTGATCTTTTTTTTACGATTTTTTGTGAGTTCACGGGGGGTTTGTTAAATAATCACCCCTTGTTTTTTTTTTTTTTAAAAAAAAAAATCTTTTTTTTTAAATTATTATTATATTCTTATTTGAAAAAAAAAAAAAAAAAATACAATAATATGAATATCACGACGGAGGCATTTTTTATGAGTACTAAAATATTTAATAACATACGAAACCCCGTTTTTAGAACTTTAACGACAATGGCACCTAACCCTAGAGTTTTTTTTAAAGTTGCTCTTCCTGATAAAACAGAACGCGTAAGTAGAAAAAAAAAAAAAAAATTTTTTTTTTATGAATGAATTTTGGATAATTAGCAATTATTAATTAATTATTACTATTACTGGTGTAAATTTTCCTTTGTTAATAGAAAATCACCTTTGAATTGAGGGCTGACGTCGTTCCCAAGACTGGTAAATATATATATATAAATTTATTTATTATCATATATAAAGGTTTAATCGTCATTAAAAAAAAATTAATAATATTTTATATATATATATATAATTAGCTGAAAATTTTAGAGCGTTATGCACTGGTGAAAAAGGTTTTGGTTTCAGAGGTTCGAAATTTCATCGAATCATTCCTCAATTCATGCTTCAAGGAGGGGATTTCACCAAAGGTGACGGAACTGGTGGTAAATCAATTTATGGGGAAAAATTTAAAGATGAAAATTTCCAATTGAAGCATACTGGACCTGGTAAATTCATTCATTCATTCATTCATCATATCCTTCGTGCTGATGATCATTTCATAAAGTTGATCAATAACCTGAAATATATATATATATTATTGTATATTTTTTATAGGTATTCTTTCCATGGCCAATGCTGGAGCAAACACTAATGGATCGCAATTCTTTATTTGTACAGTCAAGACTGCTTGGTTGGATGGTAAACATGTAGTTTTCGGTCATGTCGTTGATGGTTAGTTGATAATTAATTGATGGATAATTATTGTTATTATTGTGATTGAAATATTTTTTATTTTATATTAATAATAATATTAATAATTATTTTTTTTTTTATAATTAAATTATTTATTTATAAAATTTAGGCATGGATGCTGTGTATGAGATTGAAAAATACGGTTCTTCCTCTGGTACTCCCAGTAAACCAATTTCAATTATTGACTGTGGTGAAGAGTGAAATCAAAAAAAAAAAATAAAAAAATAATAATAATAATTTTTTTGAAATAAAATAATAATGAATGATGCAATAAAAAATACAATAATTTTTCCGATGTTCGCGTAGTAAAAAATAAAGCATGCATATTTCGAAATGAAATTTAAAAAATAATCATTGTTTTTTCTTAAATAGTAAATTTCAAAGAAAATCACTATGAATAAATAAATAAAAAAAAAAAATAAATAAGAGAGATATTTATTAATGTAATAAATTTGGTTTAATTAGTTTTAAATTGTGTATATATGTGTATATATATGTGTAATCCTTAGACGGAAATTACGGAAATTTTAATTTTAACGAAACGCAGATAAAAATGCATTGGAATTATCTTAATACAGTAATAAAAAAAAAAATAATAAATAAAATAATAGAAATATATATTTACATAATTAATTTAAAATAATATTTAAATATTCAAAAATAATTAAATAGAATAAATAGAATAATTTAAATAGTATAAAAATGTTTAATAAAGTAAAAAAAAATAATAAAAATAAAAATAAAAGTTAAAATTTATTCCATATATTGAATGAATTATATATAAAAAATAAATTTTATATATAATAAAAATAAATAAAATTAAAATTGTAGATTATGAAATTGGTTGATATCCTACTCTTCTTCGATATCTTTGATAATGATGTAAACCAAGTCCACCTCCCATACTAATAAAGGTAGCAATTAATATTCCGATCGTAATTCCAAAGAATGCACTTCCAATTTGAGATACTTGATGTCTAGGTAATAAAACTTTATCAACTTCATAAACCGCTCCTCCATTCCAGGTTTTTCCAATACCAGTTATTTTAGCTTTACCAAATAAATTAAATTCACCTTTAACTTCTATTTTATATACTCCATGTAAAATATCTTTTCTTATTATTAATTTAGCTTCATTAGATAATAATGTAGGAAATTCTTTTCCATCAGAAAGTTCAGGACTTGTTCCAGGAATAACATGTAATTTAACTAATCGTGAAACTTCATCAGGTTCATCTAATGAAATATTTCTTTTAATTATTATTTCCCTAAATGCATTATCAGTAGGAGAAATAATAATAAATGGTTCAGAAGGATCTTTAAGAATTTCTGAAAGATTGGCTATCTTTAAAATTTTTAACATAGTAGTAGCACCAATTCCTTTAAGAATTTTATCTAAAGTAATATGTAAACTTGGTGGAAGTTGTACAGAATCAACTATATGTAAAACTCCTGATGACGTAAGTATATCAGGTTGAACAATTGTTGAAGTTCCATTAGCAATTTCAACATTTATTTTTTCACCATCACGTATAATACTTAATGGATTACCATCAATTGTACTATATTTAGATTCACCCTGAGGAATATCTTCGGTTAATATAGTTTCATTAAGCATATGATATTCTACTACACTTCTCAAATCTTCTTTACCATCAGGATGTAAAAGATAACTTGTTATAAGTCCAATTTTTGTAAATGCCGAATTAGTTGGAGCAAAAATAGTTACCCAATTGGCATTCTGAACTTCGGTTTGCATGTCACTTGCAAATATTGCACTAACAAATGCATTAAGTTGCCTGTTACGTATAGCGTATGACATGACGTCACTTGGTGGAGAGAGCGTTTTTGATATCAGATAAATAATTGAATTTCCAATCTCAACTATTTATATAAAAAAGAATATAATATAAATATAATATAATATTTAATTTTGATATTAATAAAATATTTAATTAAATGTTAAAGTTAAACCTCACCAGGATCGCCAATAACGCTTGCATCATTAATTAGAATTTCAGTTCTACTAATTGAATCATTTTCTTTAACAAAATTAGGTAAAATCGCTACTTCCGATCTTTGTCTATGATTTTTTAATTCTTCAGTTCTCAATTCAGTCTTAATAAACATATGATTTTTGAGATCTTTAACATTATATTTCCCTTTTACAATATGATATTTTAAAACTTCCGTACGAGCATTTTCATCATATAAATCATCTCGAGGAGCAAATATCGTATATGAAGCATTCCTATCTTCTATATATTTATCTAATTTATATTTCATAAATCCTGATACAATTTTAGTAGCTCTCATTCCACATAAATATTTGTGTACATTGAAAAATAATGCTTGAGGAATAGAAATATTATTCACAACATGAATAACACCTAAAAAATAATAATAATAATAATAATAATAATAAAGTTAATTATGAAATTCGATATTTGAATTCAATGAATCGTAGAAAACTCATTAATTACCATTTTCTGCCAACATATCTTTTAAGGTAACAAGTCCATTGGAAACACGAATATTTCCGTGTTCATCCCGATTGATAATTAAAGGTTCTCCTTGTTCTGTTTCCACTATTTTTAAAAATAATAAATAAATAAATAAATAAATAAAATAAATAATAAATATATAGATAATTAATAAATAAATTAATTAATAATAAATAAAATAAAAAAAAGTAATCTAAAGTAATCTAAAGTAATCTTTAAAACATACGTTCAGTTGTACCCTCTTCCACTGAAGATGAGTAAAGAACTTTATCAAAATGTAATTGATGTTTAATAAGAATTGTTGCATCATTAATTCCACCACCACATTCACCAGTTAAATATTCTCTCTCAACACTTTTAAATTGATGATTAATTGCATCATCCGTAACAGCAAAGACAGTTATATGATTTCCATATTTTATTTGGCGGTCCAATTTAGTATTACGAAGATAATTTACGAAAATGTGAAGTTGATCAATTGATGTTAATGTCCCAACTACATATAAATAATAAAATAATAATTATTATTATTATAATGACAAAAAAAAAATAAATAAATAATAACTAAAAAAAAAAAATAATAATAAAATATTGTTAAAAATATTAAATTAATTATATATTTATTTATTTATTTATTACTTACAAGCATCAAGAGGAGTTTTCAACACTTTATCAATCACATGAATAACACCGTTATCAGCCATCAAGTCAGTATTAATGATCTTGGCATTTCCAACATATTTTCCATCAGAAATTTCGACTTTTAATTTTTGTCCTATTTCTCCTTTTCCAAGTTTTTCAACTATCTCTAAATGGGTTGTTAATAATTGTCCGTCAAAAAATTCATCACCTCGGAGCTCTAAATTTAAAAGATGATAGAGCATACGTTCTTTGGTGATAAAAGGTTCATATTCAAATGCTTCATTTATCGGAGCAAACAAAGTCGCACTTGGTAAATGATTTAAATAAGGTATAAGTTGTGTCCGTTGAAGGTTTTGAATTAGTTTGTTAAACCTTTCGTCTTCACTAAGAACATCTATAAAAGTGGTTGTTGCTTCTACGAAACTTAAAGGAATAATAAAGTGGCTGTTTTTTAAGTGAAAAAGAAAAGGATTTGATGGAAAAAGAATAAAAAGATGAAATAATAATATTGATAACAAATTAAAATGTCTGATTAATTGCATTTTTATTATTATAATTATTATTATTATTATTATTATTATTATTATTATTATTATAAATAGATATAAAGTCACCTTTTTAATTATAAAGAAAGAGAGAGAGAGAGAGAGAGAGAAAAGAAAAAGAAGAGAAATTAAATTTACTTTTGCAAGTATAACCGACCCGATTAAGTATTTTAAAATGTATCATTTATCATGTGATTTGTACAAAAATGATAAATTAAAGGTCGATGGCGTGTGTAAATGAAATGTCAGTGGGGGTAAAATGTACAAAATAAGGAAATAAGCATCATCTTCAATCATCTTTGCGTCATTCATCTCGATCCGTAGTAGGTTTTTTTTTTTATTAATTTTAATTTTATGGAAACAGAGATCTTTGAAACCACTTTACAAAGTTAAACATGCTTAATTGTAATAAATAAATAAAGAAAGATTTATTCATCTTATGAATCAAATTTAGAAAACGAATAAAGCAGTTTTGGGATTTATTAAATGCATCTGTCACTTGATTAAAATTAAAAGGTAATATTCTTTTTATTTATACATATAAAATAAAAATCAATTTTACAGCATTCACCTGGCTCAATAATGAAATAAGAAATCATTTTCACACAATTTCACGCCAATGGTAGTTGCTCTTATAAATTATGATAAGGGTAACTTTGTAAATATGTTGTATTCTTTTTTGAGGAATATGATTCATAGCCAAAAAAATTATTGGTTGAAACATTATTTATATTAAATTCAAAAAGTTCAAGAGGTAACAAATGATAATGACTGAGTAAATTTGTATATACAACATTTTATTATTATTATTATTTTCATATAATAATAAAATAACAATAATAATAATAATAATAATAATAAATAAATAAATTTATTTTAAATCTAATCAAATGGTATTCTTCTTACAGAACCTTCTCTTATACCCATTTGATTTGCACCTATAGCACTAGGAATTTTTATACCACAACAATCAGGAAATTCTTGACCAAAAGCATGAATATGTACATGATCATTATTCTTTTCTTCTCCATGACAACTTCCATTCTCATTCACATAATTATCAGTTTCCATATTACTACTATTACTACTACTACTACTACTACCTTTAAAAGATATTAATGATCCAAACATAAAATGTTGCATTATTGGTAATTTTGCTAATACCTCTGCCTTATACATTTTAAGCATTCCTTCATTAACTTTTTTCCATTCTTTAACACCTATTAATAAATAAACATAAATAAAACACTAATTAATATAATCAATATAAAATAATTAATCTAGAATAAGTAATAGATATATAATAATTAATAATTACCAGATATGTCATTTAACATCGGTGAATTCCAACTAAGAGTAGCAGTTTTAATCTATGACGAGAAAAAATATATACATATATATATTAAATTAATTAATTTTTAAATACTTCCAAATTTAACAAAAATAACAATGATAACAATGGATAATAAAAAATTGACATACAGAATTAATAAATTGAATACAAGCCAAATATAAATATTCTTTTGAATATTCTTCTATCACATCTTTATTATGAATTGATTTAGGTCGAATATATTTATGACCTATTAATTGAGCGGATCCAAACAGAAAAGGTAAAAAATGGTAATCATCTAATCCCCATACTCCTTGAGATCCCGCTGGTTCAAGCCAATAATTTAATTGAAGATTTCTCATTACTTCTAAATAATTTTTAAAAATTCTTAATACTAAAGAAATATAATCATTTGATCCAATTATTCCTAATTTTTCAAGGCATAATCTTGAATAAATTGAATAAATTGAATAAATTAATTAATTATAATGAATAAATTAATGAATAAATTAAATAAATTAAATTAATTATTAATTATAGAATTAATGAATAAAAAAAAAATTTAATGAATAAATATATTACAAGAATTCATACTTACAACCATGCTATAAAATTAGCCTCATGTCCAGTTCCATAATCAATTCTTGTTCGATTTCCCCAACTTTCTATAAAATATCGTGAAATTTCTGGTATAGATTCTTTTGGAATTGATAAATTTTTATGAAGTTCTTCGGCTTTCTATACAAATTATGAAAATTATGAAAAAATTTAGGAAAAAAAATTATGAAAATTGTGAAAATTGTGGAAATTATAAAAAATTATATTAATAAATATAATAATACAATTTATTAATAGTATTAATGCAATCATTCTTCTTACATTAGCAACTTGATCATAAAAATCACGAAATGCAGGATTTCCAAATCGACTCTTTTCATTATTTACTGGAGGAAGTTTTATACGATAATTATTTACTGTATCTAGAATTTCTAATATTTTTACTAATATCTATATTAAAAATTTTTTTCAGTTCAATATTAATTGAATTAATTTGAAAATAAAAATAAAAAATAAATAAAATAAAAATAAATATAAAAAATAAAATAAAAAGCTTACTGGAGAAAGTACGCATTCGGTACTAAGTTTTTGTCCCTTAACGGATTCATTCAACCTTTCAATGAATGAAAAGAAATCTGAGTATGCTTGAGACTCTTTAAATTTTTCTAAATCCTCTTTGGTCAAAATTTCACGTTTGGGAATCACGAAATTCATTGTAGAAGTCAAAAAAAAAAATAAAAAATAAAAACAAAATTTTCGAATAACTTTTGAGTAACGAATGATGTGAATGATTGACGTACTTTTATTTATTATTTGACGATGACCGTCCATATAATGACGTACATTGCGGCACCTATCTATCCGTTCTGTAGTAAAAAGAACTTGGAGCGGATTTTTTCTCAGCTTTTGTTGTTCACATATATATATTATTGAAGATATAATTATTGATATTACAAAAAGAGGTAAAATTTCACCTTATTCAATAACTTTTTAATAATTAGAATTACAAAAAAATCATAAAAATTTTTACCCTTTTTTTTTTTTTTACTGACATTTTTATTATTATTGAAAAATATTAGTTCAATCATGTTAAACGAAGGTGGTTATCTTCCAATACAACAAGCAAACGCTCAACAACAGCAACAACAACAACAACCTCAACCATTACCACCCACACAACCACCACAACATATTCCACAAGTTCAGCAACAGCCTCCACAGATTCCTATACATTCAAATAATATTAATAATATTAATAATATTAATAATATTAATGACCTTCAAACTAAGAAAGATCATCAAAAAGTATTTAATGCATATGTTTATGACTTTTTAAAACGTAGTGGAGCAACTGAAGCAGCTCGTGCTTATTTACAAACAGTAGATATTCAAAGTTATATAAAAAACGAGAATAATAATAATAATGGTAATTCGGATAATAATAATAATGAATCATTACCGGAAATCACTTTATCCAGTCAAACTGAAGATGGTTTTTTATATGAATGGTGGTTGGTATTTTGGGAAGTTTATTGCGCGAATGGAAATTCAAGTATGCCAGGTTCGGAAACTGCACAACGATATCTTGAACAGGTAAAAAAAAAAAATATCTATTTATCTATCTATCTGTTATTTTTTAATTCCTTTAAAAATGATAATAAAAAATGAAAAAAAAATGATGATAAATAAATAATAATATTTATAATAATAATATTTATTTATTTTTTTCATAATAAAAGATTCGTAATAGAAATAACAATAATCGATTACGAATGATTCCAGATCAATTACATCAAATTCCAATGGGTTACGCACAAATGATGGCAAGTCAAGGAATTCAACATCATCAATTACAACAACAATCAAGAATAACTCCCATTTCCGCTCAAGCTCTTCAGCAACATCAACAAGCAGCAGCAGCACAACAACAACAACAACAACAACAACAACAACAACAACAACAGCAACAACATCAACAACAACAACAACAAGCACATCAACAACAACAACAACAAACTTCACAATCACAACCTCAACCAACACAACAAACTCCTCAATCACAACCTCAACCTCCTCCTCCTACTGTCGCGCCATCACATCAAGTGGTTCCAGTTAATGTTAATGTTGAATCCAATTCAAATAATGAAAATATGATTAACAATATATCTCCTCAACAAGTAAATCCAATTAAGCTTCGAAATCGAATGTTGTAAGTTGAATATTTTAGTCATTAATCTTTTATTGAAATTCTTATTCTTATTCTTAATTCAAATTCTCATTCTTGATTAAAATTATTTATTTTAATAGACTAATGCATCAGCAGAATAATAATGTGATGATGCATCATCAACAACAACAACAACAACAGCAACAACAACAACAACAACAACAACAACAACAACAACAACAACAACAGCAGCAACAACAACAACAACAGCAGCAGCAGGTACAACAACAGCAGGTACAACAGCAACAACAAAATCCTCAACAACATGTACCAACTCAAGTTCAAGTTTCGCAAACCCAAGCTACAATACAAGTTCATAATCCTCAACAACTTTCCTCCAGTCAAGCTGCACAGAATACTAACGTGTCATCGTCACCCAATAAACGACAAAGAATGATGCCCCCTGATTCGTCTGGAAATTATTTGTCTAGTAAGTGTTCATTGTTATATTTTATTTATATTTTTTTTTTTCTTTTTAAAAAATTTTAAATTTTTTTTTTTCTTTTAAATACTTTTATTTTTTATTCAGATGTACAATTCAATAATTCTACACCAAGACCACAAATGACCGTAAATCCAAATATGACACAAAGCAATCTGATCTTGACTACCGTACGTTGGTTAAGTTCATTTATTCGTTTAAAATTTACAAAAAATTTACAAAAAATTTATTAATTTCAACAGCCCATCGGAAATATTTCTTCGGCCTCGCCGAACATGAAACAACAACGACCAAATATGCCTAACATGCCTAACATGCCTAATATGCCCAATATGCCTAATATGCCTAATATGCCAAATATTCAAAATATTCAAAATATACAAAAGGGAAATAAGGTGTTACTAAACCAACTACAAATGCAGCAACAACAACAGCAGCAGCAGCAACAACAACAACAGCAGCAACAATTGGCTAATATGAGTAACCAAAATAACAAATCGATTTCACCACAAGGTAATTAATAGTTCAAATTATTCATGACTTATCTTCTAATTCAAACCTGATCAATCGAATTACTAATACAATTTATGTATCATCTACTCAAGATCAAAAACAACTTCATACCGCTGCCGCCATGATTAATGTGCCAATTATGCTAAATAATGTGCCTCATGGAATGTTGCGTCACCCAAATCTTTATAATAGCGTTTTTCCAGCAAATATGAATATGTTGGCTCAAAATAGAGTTGGAAGTATAAGGCCTACCAACGATGGACATAAGATGTTTTTCAACAACCGATCTCAAATGACGCCACAACAATTAATGGTGTATCAACAATCACTGCAACAACAACAAATTCAACAACAACTTCAACAGCAACAACTTCAACATCATCAACAACAAATTCAACAGCAACAAATTCAACAAATTCAACAACAACAACTTCAACAACAACAACAAGCAGCCCAAGCACATCAAAATGCACATCAAGTTCAAACACCTCAAACACAACAAACACAGGTACAAGCTCAACAAACGCAAATACAAGCACAACCTGTAGCTAATAACGTTAATAATACTCCTCAACGTGAATCAACAGAAGATGGAAATGATAATGAAAAAGGTGCAAAGAACATTTCAAAGACTCCAACTCAACAACGAGCACAAACAAGCGGTACCACAAACAATCAACAACAAACATCAATGGCAATTAATAATAATAATAATAATAATAATAATAATAATAATAATAGTAATAATAATAGTAATAATAATAATAATAATAATAATGAGTCAGGACAATCCGCACTTGATTTTGACGTGGATGAGGTACGTAAAAAGTTTTATTTCAAATAATATAAATAATGAATAATTTATTTAAATAATAACAATATTTATTAACGAATGTAATGGAATAAATATATATATATATTATATGTATATGTGTGTGATTTTTTTTTTGTAGTGCCGCGATTACGCCAATAGCCTTGGAGATGGAGTAGATCCCTTTGGTTTTCTCCATGATGGATTCGAGCAACAATCACAATCGGATGATGCGAACTTTAACGATTATTTTGATTTCGGAGGGGAAAATTAGGGTTAGCAAATTTGCTGGCCTTAAAAAGGGGGGGAGGAAAACGTAATAGTAAAAATTAAGCGTCGTCGTCGTCGTCGTTTCCCTTAACTATGTGTGTAATATATATATATATGTATATACATCACGACATACCATTTTTTGCACCGCCTTTTGCACCATTGAAAAAAAAATATATATATTCGCAAGTAGATGAATGATGATCGATTAGCTGCTGCTGCTAAAAGATAAGCCAAAAAGATATCAATGCTTAAATTATACGACAATAATAATAATAACATAAAAGACAAATATTTTGGTAGCGATATATCATCAAATAACAATTGATTTTAGATATAATACAAGATGAAATTTCAGGTTCGTTCTATTGATAAGAGAGTGAATATATAATGAATTTAAAATAAATTTTAGCTTTATATTCATATCAAATCATCGAGCAACTGCAACTTCATCACAATCGTCACATCGATATCATCATCATTCATCATCATCATCATTCATCATCATCATCAATCATCCAATTAATTCTATTTAAAATTCTGTTTAATTATATAATTAGTTTACAGGAATAGAAGTCGATATTCCAAAGATCTTTACAAGTTTTACGAGTGGGACCTTAAGGAATAATTTTTATTAAAGGAAAAGAAGTTAATATAAAAAAAAATGGATTCTATGGATTATTTGATCATCATTATAGAAGATAATTAATATTTTTTTATTTTTTTTTTTACCATTATTTTCAAAAAATTTGTAAAATTTAAATTTCAATATTGTCAAAAAAAAAATTATAATTAAATAAAATGGTTTATTTAGAAAAAAAAAAATTTTTTTTTTTTTGAATGAATGAATGAATGAATGAATGATTATTCGAATTTATAATACATAATAATATTTATATTTTAATAATGACAATAATAAATAATAATAATTTGCTCCAGTTCTTTATTTTTATCTCAATCAGTCCAACGACGACGACACGGAATATTATTTATTATTCGTAATAAACTAAATTTAAGAGAAAAAAAAGAAATTATTACTATAGTTATAATTATTTAGGAAAAAAATAATAAATGAGTAACGATATATATCAGAAAATATGTTAATTAGGTAGCAGACTTTATTATCATCATTTTACAAAAACGTAAAAAAGCAGACAAATGCCTTATTCATCATATATTTCTTTTTTTAAAAAAAAAAAACGAAAGAATTAATACATTACCTTTACATTAAAGTAACGTTCCGCAAAAAAAAAAGATTATAAGTGATGTCAGGGATCGGCACGGCAGTAATTACATATACGCCGATCAACTCTTGTTAAAAAAAAATGACACCAGTATGAATTTTAGAACAATAGTTACTAAACAAATTTTGATCTTTGAGATTTGAAGATTTTTTTAAGATGCTTTTGGTATCAAATTTATAATCCTGATTTTGCATAAATAGATGCTCAACATTGAGAATTGTCACTTAATAATATTTCAATTGTAAATAAAATTTCATGTAGAATGGTTACAGCCAAGATGATTATAGGATTAATATTTTTTCCTGAGGAGAATAGGCATATCAAGTTTCATAACAATTGGATCAGTGGTTACCAACATCAGGAATTTTATAGAGGTGTTCTAGTATGCTATAAGTATGGAATGTTTAAATAATACACTAAAACATTGTGTTATAGTATGCTATAAGTACAAAATGTTCAAATAACATATTAGAACATTGTGTTCTAGTATGCTATAAGTATGAAACATTCAAATAATGTACTAAACCACTGTATTTTGGTATGCTATAAGTACAAAACATTCAAATAATACACTAGAACATTGTTATCAATAGTTTCTGACTCTCCTGCAGACAAGCTAGTGAAGTGACTTAATAGTTCTTATAAGGAGTTTATAGTTCTTTTCTGAAAGTAAGACTGTTGTTCAGTTGTTTTAGAAGGTACCATTGATTTAATTATTTTAAAAAAGGAATCAGACTTTCATCCAATTTATTCCAATATCTTTCAGGTTCACTATCACATTTAATATTAACATTCATCTATAAATTATATTCCAGTTCATTATGGTTGAGTATTATTCCAATCTATCATAATTGAGTATTATTTCAATTTCAGGGTTTATGATAATAGTTTGTAATTAATTTCATTAATTCAAGAATAATAATATTATACAATTATACAATTAAGTATTTAATCTTATAATATTCATTATTCCTTTATTAACTATTATATTTTTATTAATAATTATTTTATAATTTTTATTTATATTTTCAATATTTATTTTTTTATTAATCCAATTGCAAAATAATTTTTACAAGTTTTATCTTGAAGTTACAAATTATAAAATTAAATTTATTAATTTCAAATAAGTTACAAATTATTAAAATTTAAAATTATAAATTTAAATTAAGGAATCAAGATAGGATCTTGATCCTTTTTATATATAATTAATACTAATTAATAATAAATAATAATTGTAATATTTAATAATATCTAATAATATCTAATAATAATTAATACTATATAATAATAATTATTCTATATATTGTACTTAAGTGATTTATGTTATTAGTCAGATGACTACTAATATATTATTCTTCATAATAAATACCATTAAAATTTTATTTTGTTATTTTAATTCATTATTCCATTTTCTAATTATTTATAGGTATTATATAATACTATATACTATTTTTTTTTATCATGGTAATTTTATTCTGTAACAATATATATTACAGGTCAAAATCTGTATTTTGAATATCTATCAAGTACTTATCAGAAATTTATTAGGCTCTATACGTGTTGCCCAAATCCCAAATCATTTGGGATTTGGGATGCCAAAATCCCAAATTACTAGTATTTGGGATTTGGGATTTGGGATTTCGGCAAAAAATACTAATCATAATTTGGGATTTGGGATTTGGGATTTCAGCATTTGGGATTTTGGCATTTGGATTTTGAATTTGGGTGGCAGGTATATTAGGCTCTCCAATAAATTATCAATAGGTGTAAATAAATACTAGTTAAGGAGATATCAGTCATTTATAAAAAATTAAGTGTCCAATATATTAAAGTACCTAATATTTTTTTTAAATCAAATTTTTTATATTCCTGATAAGTGTATTAAATATTATCAATATTTATTAAAATACTCAATTTTTGTAATAAATATTGGTTACTTAATATTTATTTATAACTATCAGGTACACAATATTTATTTACAACTATCAGGTGCATGATATTTATTTTATAACTATTGGATTACTGATATGTGTAAATAATATCAACTCACCAATATGTATAAATAATATCAAGCACCTGATATACATTTTAGCAGATTATATTTTTAACCTTTATTTATACTTATCAAAAACACAATATTGAATTTCTTGTGTTCAAATATAATATTTACTTCTCAAATCAAGTTTAAATCAAGTTTTCATACATGCTAAGAGATTATTTAAAACAATAAAAATATAAGATATAATATGCTATATTTTTTTTTTGTTCCAACGAGGTCTTGCCTCAAATTTATTAATTAAAAAAAGAAAAAGTTTTTTACATTACATAAGATTACATAATACAAAATACACAACTTATTCTAATATTTATTTGAAAAGATGAGACTTGGACTAACTCATAAGAGATAAGTCCACAACTTACTTCCAATATAATATACTATAATTTATCATTTATATAAAAATAATATATATAATATAAATAAAATAAATAATTAAATAAATTAAACAATAAATCTTCTATTCAATAGAATTATTGACACATAATTATTACTTTTTTCCATTTGATAATTTATCTTAATTACTTGACCATATATTCTATACACTGCTATAATTGAATTTTAACCTTCCTCACAGTATTCTGCTTTCTATAATTCTGTATTTGACTTATTGGATTTCATAAATTTATGTTTAAATTGTATATTAGAGAAAGGTGCATTTTTATACCATTTGATATATACTATAAAATGTGTTTTAGATTCTTTTGAAAGTGTTAAAATATGTTCGAAATAATATTATATTTTTCCAAGATAAATATCACTGTTTCTATCTCTGTATACTTTTTACTTTACTAATATAATTATATTATTTTCATATTGTCTAGTGATCATAGATTCAAATATTTCATTATCAATTATTAATCTTGCATATTGGTTTATAGTTATTTCCATATACACATTTATATCTTTCTTTTTTCTATTATATAATATTATATACCATTCACATAATATTTTTTAAACTTCTATAGGAATACTTACCTTTTAATTCGAAGGCGTCAACATATATCCTGATATAAGTTCAGTGTCATAGATTTTATTAGATATATCATATCTCATTGAGATAAAATACTGTAACTCTTCTTTATCAAATTCATAAGATATAGCTAAGCTGCTAATAGCTTCTTTTGGAAAAAAAAATCAATGGAACTTTTCTAAAAAATCAAATATCCATTGACATGTTAGATAATAATTCACAAGTAAATTTTTAAGAAAAATTTACATAAATTTAAATTCAATCTATTAATTACTGTTGAAATATGAACTTATAAAAATATTTGTGTTAAAATTTTATTTATTATAATTTTGTACATCCAATATATGTGGCTTACACTGGTCGAAATAGAAAATATCAGATACCTATCATATGCCTATTGGGAATCCGATAGGTATATAATAGGTGTCAGATATTAACAATTATGTAATATATCAGGTACCCGATTGGTAAGGTCGAAATATAGAAGTTCAGACATTTATCAGGTTCATATCGGATATTAATATTTTGATATTTTATTCAAATTCATCATTCATATATCGGGCACTTGATTTTATTTATTTTTTTTATCAATTATATATCTTTTATAAATCGGTCATAGTATATCTCTATATATCAGGCACGGTATATCTCTGTGTATCGGGTAGTTTTTTTCCTTTTATCGGGTATCTATCAGTATCTTTTATTTATATATATATATATATTTTCACTTTTTTTTTTATTTGCAAATAATCATAATATTAATTTATATTTATATAAGGTGAAGGTATACTCTGGAGTGACTTTTAATGAACGTGTAGATGAAATAATTAAAATGAAAATTCTTAAGCCAACATGTACACCCAAAATTGGAAAACTAATATCAGTTAATGCAATTGGATATTGGAATAATATTAACATAGAGGTCTCCTTCCGTGGATTTATGAAAAAGTTGGGTATAACAAAATCTACAGTAAACTGAAGATTATTAAATAAGAATAGAAATTCAATATCTGATTACAAAAGTCAAAATATTAACTGGGAAATCATGTGGAATACAATACATTATCATATAAAGAAAAATCTGTAACAAATAACAAAGAAAATAGAGAAAAAGCTTTTAATATGAAATTGTTCAACAATAAATTACCTACAATGAAGTGTATGTATAGTAGATTTTCAAAGATATATAAAAATAATAAATGCGTGTGATGTAATGATAATATTACTGAAGACCAGTTACATGCATTCACATGCAATTCAAATTTAGTAAATATACAAATGTGCAAAGATAAATTTATAAATATTCTGATAAATCAATTTAGTAAGATAGCTAAAAAAAAAACAAAAACTGATAAACTCAAAGACGAAATTTATGGGTTAAGTGAACTAAAGTAGTCTAAAGATGAAAAGAATGATAACAAAAATGAATTATCATTTCTTGACATTATCATTGGACACATTTCCAATTCATTATACAATACTATATCATCACAGACACAAAACAAAAGAGAAGTGTTCAAAATTTTGAAGAAACAATAGTAATTTTCAAGGAATATATAAGAACAAATATTTGAAATTATCATTATAAAATTATAAAACAATGGGAATTAGAAAATGGAATTAAGAATATAAATAAAAGAAAGGTATTAAATCAAAATAATGAAATAATTATTGCTAATAACAATTATACCTGCCACCCAAATTCAAAATCCAAATGCCGAAATTCCAAATGCCAAAATCCCAAATCCCAAATCCCAAATTATGATTAGTATTTTTTGTCGAAATTCCAAATCCCAAATCCCAAATACTAATAATTTGAGATTTGGGCAACACGTATAGTTATTATACAGTGTTAGAATATTATTCATTATATGTGACAAGTTTTAAAGATATAAAATGTGAAACTGAACATCATAAAGATCGATAGATATATGGTCAAGTAGGAGAGTGTAAGGAATCTGAAAGTTACTTGGTATTCCATGATAAATGCATTTCAATAGAATATTGATAACACATTGCTCAGAAAGAATGTTAATTTGATTACCTTGACAGTCAAATGTTTCAAATTTATACTAAATAGAGAAAATATTAAATTCAATTTCTCACAAGATTTTGATATCTTGTTTTGTCACTGTACTAAAAAATATGACATACTATTATGGAGATGAACGTACTAACATTTGTTCAGTTATTTATACAATAATGTCATGTCTATTAAAGAATAAATATTTCAATTAGTTGGAAGAAAGCACCAAGTTCTAATTCCTCCATAAAAGATAAATAGTATTCAACTACAAGTTTTTCTCCAAGCAATACTTGAGCTATTAGAATATATTTTTTTTGAAATTTGTGATTTTTTTTAAACTCTAGTTCTTTTTTAAGTTCATCTATGTCCTGTTTTAACTTCATATTTTCACCTTTAATTTTGATATTTTCTTTTTTAAGTTTAATAATCTTATTTACCAACTTCAAATCTAATTTATCAATTTTGATTTGTGAAGATTCAGAAACTTCAGAGTTTATTCAGGAATCAAGTTCAGTTCTTTTCTTATATCTTTTATATAACCTAAAATGAAACTTATCTGTTAAAATACTTGACAATCTGATTAAATTAATATGCAACTCCAAATATTCTGAGATTAAGTCTTTATTTACATTATACTTGTACGCAAAATTATTTTGGAGCTCCAAAATTACAATTTTGAAGAAAAAAGTTGAAATAGTTTTTCATAAAAGACGAAATTATTTTACTTAAAATTCAAAATTTTTTGATTATTCAGATTTATTCTTTGATTAAAGATACATATAACTGGATACTTTTTTTACTTCTATATATAGAATAGATTCTGCATAA